GCTTCTCTGATGGAAAAGAAGGTAGAGAAAAGATAAATAAATAAATAAATAGAGGAGACAGAAAATTAAAGAAAAGCATTTCAGACCTCTTTGCTGCACCATTCAGGTGACCCTGACAACACAGATAAACTTCTTGGATGAGAAGCGAAATGTCTTCAGAGAAAAACCAGAAAGTCCATCTGCCTCTTCAAAAAGCACCTTTGAGACAACCCTGACCTGGATGACTGAGAATCTCTATATACCTAGATCTGATTGTGAAGCTTTATATATTCCATCTTACACTGCTATTTCTTACCTGTGTTTTTCCTTCCTTCCTCCCTCCCTCCCTCCCTCCCTCTGAGGTTGGACCATGATTTCAAGGCGAGCTCAGATGAGTTTTTCTGAGAGGGGAAAGGCCTGAACTGCCCTGCAAGAATCTGCAAATTTTGCTGCCCAAATTGTGCTGGCGTGTGCTCATTGGCCAGGCACTACACAGCAGGGGTGGGGGAGACCTTAGCCCTAGACTTCTCCTGCCCAGCCTTGTTTTTCCAGCCCCCAGAGCACTCCCTCATCGGCCATAAAGATGACACTTGGCAGCAGGAGACTGGAATAAGTATTGAGCTGGTCATCTTTCCAGAATTAAAAAAAAACTGAAATAACTGCTAAACCTTCTGTAGGTTGGTCTCTTTTACCTTTCTAAAAGAAACAAGGAACACCTACCTATCCCTCTAATGTCATGACTGCCAAGTTCCTGCTAGAGCAGAGGTTCTCTTCGCCTCCCTCCCTCTCTCTCTCCCTCCCTCCCCCCCTCTTTCTCTCTATATATTATATTTCACTGATAAAGAAATAAAGGGAGACTAGTATAGATCTATTTCAAGCTATTTTGCTCTCATCAGCTAGCCATACCCTTACTTGGATTCGAACTGCCTAATATGCAGGCAGCACAAGTTCAAATCCGAGTAAGGGTATGGCTAGCTGATGAGAGCTAAATAGCTTGAAATAGATCTATACTAGTCTCCCTTTGTTTCTTTATAAGTGAAATGTAAATTTGGTATAAAATGGTTCATCGTGAATGCGACTGCTTGAGGGCTCCTGGATTGGAGCTGAAAGGGAAGCAATATGCTCCCTCCCACATATTGGGGTAGACCAGCTGCTTCGATAGAAAAACACACACACACACACACATACACTGTGTGTGTGTGTGCGTGTGCGTGTGTGTGTGTGTGCAAGCAAAGGCACGAAGCCGAAGGCACCAGCCTGAGGATGACGGGTGGGACTTCATCGAAACGTCATCAAGATACTCTCAATCTTACACGGGAAAAGACCTGAATACGCCAAGACTTGCAGATAGATAGATAGATAGATAGATAGATAGATAGACAGACAGACAGACATATACATATACATATACATATACATATACATATACATATATGCAAGTTTTGGTGTATTCGGGTCTTTTCCCGTGTAAGATTGAGAGTATCTTGGTGATGTTTCGACGAGCTCCCACTCGTCATCTTCAGGCTGGTGTCTTCGGCTTTGTGCTTGTGTGAGGAAAGCGTGACCAGAGCTGCCATCTCTCTATAAATACTGGTGGAGAGCAAATACTGGTGGAGAACTGGCTCCCCACCAATATTTGCTCCCCACCAGTATTTATAGAGAGACGGCAGCTCCGATAATGCTTTCCTCGCACAAGCACGAAGCCGAAGACACCCGTCTGAAGATGACGAGAGGGACCTTGTCAAAACATCGCCAAGATACTCTCAATCTTACATGGGAAAAGACCCGAATACACCAAAACTTGCATACCTCTACCCGTGAAAATCTACATATACGTCTACATATACATATATATACACACATATATATATATATATCTTTAGCCAGGTTCTACCTACGTAAACCAAGATGTTATGCAGTCCTAGAGAAACACACATAAAACCTACGAAAAAGAAAGAAAAACATATATATTATATATACATACATATATATATACAGTTGCAAGAAAAAGTATGTGAACTCCTTGGGATTACGTGGAGTTTTGCATGAATTGGTCATAAAATGTGCTCTGAACTTCATCTAAGTCACAACAATAGAAAAACACAGTCTGCTTAAAATAATACTACAGAAACATTAGATGTTGCCATGATTTAATTGAACATAACATGTAAACATTCACAGTGCAGGGAGGAAAAAGTATGTGAACCTTTGGACTTAATAACTGCCAACCCTGGTTTGGCAGCAATAACGTCCTCAACCAAACGTTTCCTGTAGTTGCAGATCAGACCTGCACAACGATCTGGAGTAATTTTGGACCACTCCTCTTCACAAAACTGTTTCAGTGTAGCAATATTCTTGGGATGTCTGGTGTGAATCGCTCTCTTAAGGTCATGCCACAGCATTTCAATCGGGTTGAGGTCAGGACTCTGACTGGGCCACTCCAGAAGGCGTATTCTGTGCTGTTGAAGCCATTTTTTTATTGAATTACTTGTATGCTTGGGTCATTGTCCTGTTGCATCACCCATCCTCTGCAGAGCTTCAGTTGGCGGACAGATGGTCATATGTTTTCCTGCAAAATGTCTTGATAAACTCTGGAATTCATTTTCCCATCAATGACAACAATCCGTCCAGGCCCTGAGGCAGCAAAGCAGCCCAAACCATGATGCTCCCTCCCCCATGTTTTACAGTGGGGATGAGGTTTTGATGTTGGTGTGCTGTGCCTTTTTTTCTCCACACATAGTGTTTTGTGTTCTTCCCAAAGAACTCAATTTTGGTTTCATCTGTCCACAGTATATTTTGCCAGTAGTGCTGTGGAACATCCAGGTGCTCTTTTGCAAACTTCAAAAGTGCTACAATATTTTTTTTGGACAGCAATGGCTTCCTCCGTGGTGTCCTCCCATGTACTCCATTCTTGTTTAATGTTTTCCTTACTGTAGATAAGGAAAATGTAGATAACAAAAATGTTAGCATGTGCCAGAGATTTCTGTAGGTCTTTAGCTGACACTCTAGGATTCTTCTTTACCTCATGAAGCATTCTGCGCTGTGCTCTTGCAGTCATTTTTACAGGACGACCATGCCTAGGGAGAGTAGCAACAGTGCTAAACTTTCTCCATTTGTAGACAGTCTGTCTTACCGTGGACACATGAACATCAAAAGCTTTTGGAGATACTTTTGTAACCCTTTCCAGCTTCATGCAAGTCAACAATTCTTGATTGTAGGTCTTCTGAGAGCTCTTTTCTGCGAGGCATGGTTCACATTAGACAGTGCTTCTTGAAACCAGTAAACCCAAAACAGGTGTGTGTTTTTAAAGGGCAGGACAGCTGTCAGCAACACATCCAATATCATCACACTGTTTGGAGTCAAAGTTGGCTCACTCCTGGCTCCAATTAGTTCTTGGAGAAGTCATTAGGCTAGGGGCTCACATACTTTTTCTTGCAACTATATATGTTTTCTTTTCGTAGGTCTTTATGTGTATTTCTCTTTAGCTAGATTCTTCCTACGTAAACCAAGATTTTTATGCAGCCCTAGTTCAGTGAAATCCCAATCCACTAGTTTCTAGGCTTTTTTTCTTCCAGCAGCCAGCAAGCTCCCTGCTGCCCATTGGAAGACTAAGGAGACTAAGCTGGCTGCTGGCTAAAGAAAAATACATCCATCCATCCATCCATCCATACATACATACATACATGCATGCATACATACATACATGCATGCATATATACACACATATCCCTCTCCCTCCCTCTCTCTCTCTCTCCCCCCTCCCTCTCTTTCTCTCTCTCTTCTCTGTCGGCCACAGTCCAGGTGTGCTCAGAGGCACTCTTGCATAGCCTTATGCATACTATTCCTAGACATGCATCTGGGAATACCTTTAAACCCTGGGCAAACCTTTCTTTTCCAGTCTGTTATTTATTCAGCAGCAAACCTCCATCTCCATCCAAACCTAGTAGGAAACAGTTCTGCCTTGTTTTTGCACCTGCCATCTTTCTCTGAGAGCCTCTTAACAGCTCCAGGTTTTAAGTTCTTCAGTGCTAAATGAAAGGAATCTTGTGAACAATTGCAATTCTGCTTGGAAAATTCCAGGCACTCCTCTTGCAGGAGGCTTGTAATTTTATTTTACCTTCCTCCAAAACCTTCTGTCTCCTGTAATTCTAGCTCTGTCTGCTTTTGATGGCCTTCCTTATCCTCTGCCTCCCCTTCTCCCTCCAGATCCTGAATCCAACCATTTTGCAAAGAGCAGGCAATTTCCCCACCATCTGTTCTGGCAGAGTGGAGGAAAAAGCAGCTTTTTCTGTCTATTCTCCTCACCCCTGAGTTACAGATGCTGACTTCTTATATTACAGACTCTTTAAAAAAAACAAAATCTGATTCTGGAATGCAAAATAGAGTTGTATACCTTTGCCTTCTGCTTTATTTTTTCAGTCAGTTACACACTCCTTAAAAACAAAATTTCATACCACGTCTTGCATCTCGTAAACATTAGGATGCCGTATGCACTCCTTAGGAAATTTGCATATAAACAACTGGATAGATGTCACTCTCACTAAAGCCCTGAAGAAGAGATATCACCTTTCCCAATCTTACACCTGGCAGCTCTGTTGGATTACAACCCCCATTGTGCTGATTTCACATACCCTGTAAAAGATGGGAGGGAGGGAAAAGAAACAGAAAAATAGCTATGGATCGCCAGATATGTTGGGTCATATAAAAACACCAGCCCCTTCTTGGTTTTATCTGTTCATCTGCCTTAATTTTGTTAATCTTTCAAAGCTGTTTCCCCTCAAAAGATGTAGGCTAAAGTGCCTAACTTGGGGGGGGCAGTTGTGACATCGATAACATCCCCAGTTTGGGTGGCACAAGGTTTCTGAAAAGCAGAGGTGAAAATAGAAACATGGGATCCCAAAGATGCTTTTTTTCAAGAGGCAACTGGACTTTCTGGTTTTTCTTTGAAGATGTTTTGCTTCTCATCCAGGAAGTTTCTTCAGCTGAAAATGTTTCTTGGGTGAGAAGTGAAATGTCTTCAAAGAAATACCAGAAAGTCCAGTTGCCTATTGAAAAAAAGCACCTTTGGGACAACCATGACTTGGATGACTGAGAATCTCCATAGATAGAAACTTGGGATCATCCTAAATTCCACTCCTAAATAATTTCCCTGTCCCACAATCTCCCAATATTCTACCGACAAAATATAGTCACTTTGCCACCAAATTCCAGGGATTTTTAAAGATTGGAAATGGGAACAGTAAACTTCCTAGAAGATTACCAGCTCATTCCTACTCATACAACCTCCAGCCCGCCAAATAGGCCAGAATTAAGCAAAACAAGGCCAAAAAGAGAGAGAGAGAGAGAGAGAGAGAGAGAGAGAGAGAACTAATTTACTCTAATGGTTAAGACACCAGCTACAAAACAAGAGATCCCGAGTTCTAGTCCCGCCTTAGCCATGAAAGCCAGCAAGTTTGGAGCCAGTAAGTCTCTCTCAGCCCAATCCACCTCACAGGACTGTTGTGAGAGTGGGGGAATAGGAGGAGGAAAGAGTATCGTGTGTGTTTGCCATTTGGAAGTTGTTTGTAAAAATAATAAAGGGGTACAAAAAAAACACGTTGTAACCTTACAGAGACATCACTATCTTTCTTCCTGTTCATCCTCCAGGATGTTCAGGGTGGGAGTTATGCTCCCCAATTTTGGGGAAATTTATAACTGTTTAATGAAGCTCTCTTACTTGTCTGCTTTTCTCTGTTCCCACTCAAAGACTCCTACAAAAATGCTGTCCCTGTGAGATTGAAAGAGGATGAAATCTCTCTGCTGCTTTACAGGATGTCTTTGGGGCTGGATCTAGAATTTTTTTAGCTCAGCCCCATCTGGCTGGTTGAGCTTCAACTGAATGTACTTGGAGATCTGTAAAGACAGAAGCCAGCTCCCATAAATGGAGAGGCCTTTTCAAACTGGAAAAAAATGAAACACCTAAATGTTTAGGGACGAGCATGTCATTCAGCTGGTGCCTGAAGTGCCAGTATCTGTTGACAGATTTCTAAATTGTGAACAGTTGGTTTTACATCCAATTTTTGGCTTGCGTACTCTGACCCTGAAGCAGGAAGCTGAAATTTAGCTGAGAGAAACCTCAGTTTTTTAAAACAGGACTGACTTTCTGAAGGTTCTATAAGTTGCAAATATTCACAACTTTAGATGTTTGGCGCTGCTCTTCTCTTCTCTTTGGGCTTGCAGGTGTAAGGGAGTTTTCTTTCTTATCCTCATTGGATCACTGTGCCACTTGCTCAAAATCTCACCGTCGTGTGTAATTCGTTGCAAATTTTAGAAGGTCCTATTTTTTTTTTATTAAATATATCTTGCTTGTTCTGATGCTGTCTGTCCTCCAGGAAAGGTTTTCCCATCTTTTTTCCTTGTTGAAATCTAAGAAAAGCTTGCATGAAGAGCTCATGAACAGTCTAAAGCAGGGGTCCCCAACCAGAAGCATGCCAGAAACTGGGCCATGCAAACAAGTGAAGCCCCATCCGCGAGATGCAGGCAACATGCAAAACCACGTTCCCTCCGGTCCACAGAAAAACCTCTCCACGGAACCGATCCCTGGTGCCCAAAAAGTTGGGGGCTGGTAGTCTGAGGTAAAACTTGCAGTTCAGGAGGATTTGAACTGAGGCCAGTGCGTGGTCCAGAAGGTGAGCAAGCTTTGGCCATATTTTTCTAGTTGAGGTCCATATGGCAACAGTGGTAGGTGTAATTAGACGAAAATGAAAATACCCCATGGACACAGGCTAATGTAGTTGCTGTTTCTGCACTACAGGTGACAGTCCTTGACTTAAAACATTGTTAAGCCTGCAGCTATGGTGGTAAGGCCTGCTGGTTGTTAAGCAGCACATCAAGTGACCACAATCTGTTTTGCAACCTTTTTGCAGGGACTGTTAAACCAATGCAGCCGTTGTTAAATGAACGAGGTGGTCGTAAAATGAATCTATTGTTTGTGATGGGCATTTTTTGCCAGAAACCAAAAATAAATACTGGTTTCTGACAAAAACATAAAACACAGTCATGTGACAGCTGGTGCTGAGCACCCCAAATGTGGTCATGTGACTGCAAAGATGCAGCTGTTGAAACTTCAAATCTCGGTCATAAATACCTTTTTTGAGGTTTGTGGTAACTTTGATTGCTAAGCAACCCGTCATAAGTTGAGGACTTCCTCCCAGTACAACAGTTTAGTGACCGATTGAAGTGACAACGGCACCGGAAAAAGAGACATATGGCCGTTTTTCACATTTACGACCGTTGCATCATCCCCAGGGTCACTTGATCAAAATTCAGAGCCTTGTCAATTGACTCATGATTTATGACGGTCACACTGTCCCGGGGTTATGTGATCCCCTTTTGTGACCTTCTAACAAGCAAAATCAATGGGGAAGCCAGATTCACTTAACAACTGCAGTGATTCACTTAACAACAGTGACAAGAAAAGCCGTAAGATGGGGCAAAATTCACGTAACATGTCTCAGTAACAGAAATTTTGGACTCGGTGGTGATTGTAAGATGAGGACTACCTATATAATTTCCCTCTATTATCTGGTTATTTTGTCACTGAAGGAAAGCAACTGAGTACAGGGACAAACATTCAAGGATTCAAACATTCTGGAAAGACCACACAAATTAAATGGGGAGGCTACATGCCACCCCCACCTGTCCCTCTCTCACCTTTATCTGTAAACCACAAAAAGAGACAATTTGTAAAGGTGATGGATCATTGTTGTGTATTTCAGGCAGCATCCTCTGGAAAGATGGCTGAAGCAGAAGAAGGAGAGGTTGGCGTGGAAGTGAAGCTAGAAGAGGAGGAAGAAGATGAAGAGCCTGGCTACATCCAAACTGGGCGGCGGTACAGGTGCCTGACCTGTAGCAAGACTTTCCCTAGCGTGCCACGGGTGTTGCGTCATTTAAAGTCCCACGTGGCTGGTACTGTGGATGGTGTAGCTGCCAAACTCGCTTGTCCTAATTGCAGGAAAGAGTTTCCTGACCGGGCTCAACTTCGCAAGCACCAGCTCAGCCACCAAACAGAGCGCCCGTACCAATGCCAGCTTTGTGCCAAGTCTTACAAAACCGCCCCCGAGCTGCGGAACCACGGGCGTAGCCACAGTGGCGAGAAACCCTTCGTTTGCCACGAGTGCGGCAAAGCGTTCATGCAGCCCGTTTGCCTGCGAGTCCACATGGCCCGGCACACCGGAGACCTGCCCTTCCGCTGCCAGCAGTGCCACAAGGGCTACGGCACTCTTTCCAAGCTGAAGATCCACCAGCGTTCTCATACAGGCGAGAAGCCATACTCCTGCGGTGAATGCAGCAAGCGCTTCGCCGACCCCTCGGTGTTCCGGAAGCACCGCCGGACCCACGCTGGTCTCCGCCCCTACCAGTGTGAGGTGTGCCGCAAGACATACGCTGAGTTGAAGGATCTCAAGAATCACGAGCGCTCCCACACTGGCGAACGCCCCTTCTTGTGTCAGGATTGTGGAAAGGCCTTTTCCCGGTCCTCATCGCTGGCCTGCCACCAGCGCATCCATGCGGCCCACAAGCCCTACCGTTGCAACCTCTGTGGGAAAGGCTTCACCCAGCTGTCCTCCTTCCAGAGCCACCAGAGGACCCACTCTGGCGAGAAGCCTTTTCTCTGCCCGCAGTGCGGACGCATGTTCAGCGACCCCTCCAGCTTCCGCAGACATCAGAGAGCCCACCAGGGCCTCAAGCCCTATGCCTGCGACAAGTGTGGGAAGGCTTTCCGCCAACCAGCCGACCTGGCCATGCACCAGCGCATCCACACCGGCGAGAGGCCCCATAAGTGCTCGCAGTGTGACAAGAGTTTCGTGGCTTCATGGGACCTCAAGCGCCATCTGCTGGTGCACTCCGGCCAGCGCCCTCACCAATGTGGGGAGTGTGGCAAGAGCTTTGCTGAGCGGGCCAGCCTGACCAAACACTACCGTGTTCACTCAGGCGAGCGGCCATTCAAGTGTGGCCGCTGCGGCAAAGCCTTTGTGGTGTCGTCCAGCCTCCGGAAGCACGAACGCACCCACAGCAATGAGAACAGCGAGGACAAGGCCACCCCCGCAGGCAACCAGGACCCAATCCTCAGTGACCCATCAGCCATTGTGGTCGCCACCGTGGTGCCCGCCTGTGGGGAGTGTGGGGAGGTCTTTGCCTCAACTCAGGAACTACGGCGCCACGAACGCCTGCTGCATCCTGGCCTGCGCCCATTTACGTGTCGAGAATGCGGCAAAGGCTTCTCAGACCGGGCTGGCCTGCGTAAACACGAGCGAATCCACTCAGGAGTCCGTCCCCACGCCTGTCCCCACTGCTCTAAAGCCTTCCTGGGTGCCTCAGACCTACGCAAGCACCTCAAGACCCATGTGGCTCTAGAGAACAGGAGCACCGAGGATACCATGGTGACTGCCACCATCATGACCTACGAATCCCTCCTTCCTGCTCATCTCCATCCCCATGACGACGGGACAGAAACTGACAAGGACTCTCCCTCGGACTGCCTGCCTGACCCCCTCACGGAACCCTCGTAAGCTCCGCCTCCCTCCCGCCTTTGCCCTGCCTGCGATTGGACGAAAAGAAGCCAGCTCAGTTGCTTAAAAGCTCTTTGTGTACTTTGATGATTGCCCAGTCTTGCCATGTGGATGTGATATGTGGACCGCACTCTTTCAGGGCCCTCCTGTCCAGCATGGCTCTCCAGCATTTCTTTCCAAGTAGGGCTTGATGTGCTTCATCATTGGCTGTGTGTGGCTGCCTTTCCTCCCACTCTCCATTGTTGCCCACACCAGTTGTTCACTTGCCTGCCTGGTGGGGAATTAAATGTGCCTGGTGTGTGTGTGTGTGTGTGTGTGTGTGTGTGTGTGTGTGTGAGAGAGAGAGAGAGAGAGAGAGGTCTGCGTGTGGGGAGTTGTGTTTTTATTGTTTGCAGGGTGATGCACATTCATTTTATGAGATGTTTCTGCAACCATTGTGAACTGCTGTTGTGGTTTTTTTTAAAAAAAAGAAAACGAAAATAAGCTCCAGGACTTTTTTAAGAGCAAGAAGAATTAAATTGAGAAAATTTAAGGGAGGAAGCAAAGAACAATGACCTTTTCTTCCTGGAGAGTTTTATAAATTATCCGAGGGTTTCCTTGCTTGTAAGAAAAGATTAAAATAAATGGCTTGCTTTTTTTAAAAAAGGGGAAAATTGAGTTGGATTGCATGTGGGAGGTGCAAAGTTTTTAGTGTGGGGGACACAATCCTTATATTATCCTTATCTCACCTATAGAAATTTATCTTGCTTATTGAATTTTATTTCAAGTTTTATTTTATTCCTGTATTTATTATATCTATTTACCATTGCTATCAAAAGCCTCTCAGCAATAAAGGGTTTTTGACTGCCGAGGAGAAGGTTTGAAAATCTTCCTGCTTTCCTTTCTTCTCCCACTACACTTCCAAGAAAAAAAAACACCTCACAGTCTTGGTCCTTCTACCAACTATTTATGTCCATGAAGCCTCTGAACTCTGATTGGTTGGCCTGCTGTGATGTCACTGAAGGTTCACTTACTTAGGGAGCAAAGCAGCTCATTCACATCTTTTCTGAGTATATTTATTAGTGGGAATAGGGTTTAAACCACTCTTAGGATTCTCAGGAAGAGATTCTGAGAGACAAAGAAATTAAAAAACAGAATGGTGCAATGAAGAGGACCGGGAGAAGGGGGCAATGTGTAGGCCAGATCAGTGGTGGGTTGCTACCGGTTTGCTCCGATTAGGCAAACTGGTAGCGGTGGCAGTGGCATGAGGCTCAATCCACTCACCCCGGACATGTCTGCACATGCGCAGAAGTGTTACACGCACGCGCACTAACAAACGAACCAGGAGCGAACAAAATTGAAACCCACTACTGGGCCAGATGTTAGGAATTGGGGCAGTGATGGAATTCAAATTTTTTTACTGCTGGTTCTGTGGGCATGGCTTGGTGAACATGGTATGGCTTGGTGGCCGTGGCAGGGGAAGGATACTGCAAAATCTCCATTCCCACCCCACTCCATGAGAAAGATACTGCAAAATCTCCATTCCCACCCCGCTCCTGGGAGAAGGATATTGCAAAATCTCCATTCCCACCCCACTCGGGGGCCAACCAGAGGTGATATTTTCCGGTTCTCTGAACTACTCAAAATTTCCACTACCGGTTCTTCAGAATAGCACCCCTGAATTGGAGACTTTCCAGGTGTGGTTGAATCATAGCTTCCATCACCAGCAGCCATGCTAATTGTGGCTATGAAAAGCCAGAAGGAGAAGGGAAAAAAGGGAAAAATTAAATCAAGAAAAGATGAATCCTCTTGTTGGCCCAGAAGACAATCATCTTCCAAAGAGAGTCTTCTCAAAAAGGGGTTCTTCAGAGATATCTTTGATTTCAACTCTGATCAGAAGAGTTGTTGGAGGATTTCTGGTTGGGAGGTGTCCATATATGTCCAACTGTGGGGGAAATTTATGTAGAAGATGGGCTAGGTCAGGGGTCAGCAACCTGTGGCTCTCTCACCCCTCTGCTGCGGCTCCCTGTCACTCAAAATATGCATCACAACCGCCAATCTGCGACACCCACTGGTACACAATTTATTGAGCTTTTCAACCCCCGGTAGCCAACTATGGATAAATCCAAGAAAAGAAAAGTTTCAGAAGAAAACAGAATGTTTAATTCATCTACATATGCTAGTTCTGTGGCCGCTCAAGAAATAGTCTGGCACAGGAAGGGTTTTGTGGCTCCCGGTGTTTTCTTTTCTGTGGGAAACGGGTCTAAATGGCTCTTTGAGTGTTTAAGGTTGCAGACTCCTGGGCTAGGTAGTCCAGTATAAAATGTGAGAATCAGCAACTGATTGACCGAAGGAGGAACCAAGCGGAAAAGCTAGATGGGCAAAAGGTAAGGAAACAAAAACCAGAATGGATGAACACTCCTGGGGGTAGCTAGGCAAGTAAGGAAGTGTCTGCAAGCAAATAACCAAGCTCACTACTGAGGTGTCCACAGGTCAGCCTTGAGCTACAGATATTTCTCTTAACTGACATACAGGCAGGAAGGAATGGGTGGGTATCTTAGATGGAGTTCCAGTAACTTTGACTGGGACATCCTGTTTTGGTGTCATCTTGTCATGGCAACATCACAATCTGACAGTCCTCCGGGGAATGGCTGAAGGAAGACGGGGTACACTCTCAGACATATCTGTGGCAAGTGGGGGATCCCTTACTCCTGGCCCAGTCTTCAGCAGCTTGGAATAAGCATTTACAGTCTTGTCATTTAAAGGGCACCAGGTTGAATTGGCATCTTCAAAGGGTTGGTTTTCAGTTGAATGGACTTCAATTCCCAGAATTCTCAGCAATGATCTTTCTGGCTGGAGGTTTCTGGGTGTTTTAAGTTCACAAATCCAGAGGGCAGGGCACCCTATTGGGGAAGGCTACCTTATCTGCTTCCATTTTTTCTTAAAAGGGGCCACATATCACGCTTGTAATTGCCACATAAGGAATGATAGGAAAACTAATCAAGAGGGAAGCTGGGTTTTTTTTGTGGATGTTGGCATTAAGAGCTGTTCCAGCCTATTAGACTTTTATTCCTCTTATGTTCAGACTATATTAACCAGGAGTGTCCAACTTTGGCAACTTTTAAGATTTATGGACTTCAACTCTCAGAATTCCCTAGCCAGCATATTTAGGGGCCTGGAGGCTAAAAGATGAAGAATGGTTGCAGGAATTGGGTGTGTCTAGTCTAGTGAAAAGAAGGACTATGGTGATATAATAGCAGTGTTCCAATATTTGGGGGGCTGCCACAAAGAAGAAGGAGTCAAACTATTTTCCAAAGCACCAGAAGGCAAGGCAAGAAACAACAGATGGAAACTAATCAAGGAGAGAAGCAACCTAGAACTAAGGGTCCCAAAGGTGCTTTTCTCAAGAGGCAACTGGACTTTCTGGTTTTTCTTTGAAGATGAGAAGCTGTGAGAAGCGAAACGTCTTCAAAGAAAAACCAGAAAGTCCAGTTGCCTCTTGAAAAAGCATCTTTGGGATCATCATGGCCTGGATGACTGAGAATCTCCATAGATATCTAAAATTAAGGAGAAACTTCCTTACAGGGAGAGCAATTAACCAGTGGAACTGCTTGCCTTCAAAAGTTGTGGATGCTCCATCACTGGAGGCTTTTAAGACCGGACAGTCACTTGTCTGGAATAGTGTAGGGGACTGGACTAGAGGACCTCAAAGATCCCTTCCAACTATTAACTGTTATTCTATTAAGTGTTTAAGGTCACCAAGGTTGGACATCCCTGATACAAACCATGACAGCTTCTTCCTCAATGGTTTTCATTAGTCACCTCTAGGGTAATTGAAATAAGAATGTGAGAATCAATCCCACGGTTACCCTTCCTGAAACTTGGCGGCCACTGATGTCAAAAGAATAAACCACTGAAAGGCTGCACACATGACTTTGCAGAAAAGCTTGGTCAATAAGCTGCAGATCACAATTTGATTCCATGACACACAGCCCTCTAATCGTGACCACAGCCCACACTTAAATTGGCCACTATCCAGATGTCACCTACACAAGCCTTGGATCCAAAGTCTGCTTCTGAAAACACAAAATGGTGGCTATTCCAGGATCGGTTAACCTAGAAAGCATTTAAATTGGATTAAGGAAGCCATGTGTAAATGTGCCAGGGCAGATTAGGCAAAAGGGAGGCAGGGGAATGGCCCTTAATGGCGTTTTTATCCTAAAATGTGCAAACAACCGAAGTATCATCATGAGTGGCTCTAGAGAACACTTATGAGAGTCAGTGTGGTGTAGTACTTGTCTTACAGCCATAATTGAGTCCAAACTTTCCGTTGGTAAATGAGACAGTAGTTAAGTGAGTTTTGCCCCATTTTACAATATTTCAATGTTAAGGGAGTCACTGCAGTTGTTCAGTTAGTAACGGGTGGGCTGCTGGGGGTTTACAGGAGTTCAGGAGAATCTCTAGCTAAGATTCTGTGCAGTTCTGAGAACCCCCAAATCCCACTCCTGGATGGTCCCGCACACCCTGCCCCATTCCTCCTAGGAGTCCCCACGTGGTCCGTTTTGGATGCAGGTAAGTGCAGGGCGTGCGTGGAGGCTCAGGGAGGGCAAAAAACAGGCCTACCGGAAGTTTGGGAAGGTCGGAAACGGGCCCATCTCTGACCTCCTGGGGAGGCCATTTTCTCTGCACCATCGCTAAAAATAGCAATAGCACTTAGACTTATATACCACTTCACAGTGGTATATAAGTCTTCACTTATATACCACTTCACAGTGCTTTACAACTCTCTTTACAGATGACCTGAGTAGTGCTCCTCATTCCTGTAGTCTGCAATTTTTCCTCTGGAAATCCATTCCTACTCTCACAAAAATTGGAAAGGGAAAATTGCAAACTACAAGAACCAGGAGCACCACTCAGGTGACCCTGAAGACACAGATAAACCTCCAGGTGGCCTCAACCACCCTAAAAGAATACAAATGACCAGCGGTCTGCAAGGAGTATAAATCCTTCCATTCCCCACTATCCTATCAGAGCTGAAGAAGCTCTTGGATGAGAAGCAAAATATCTTCAAAGGAAAAAACAAGGAAGTCCAGTTGCCTCCTGAAAAAGCGTCTTTGGGACTTCTTCACTGAAGTTCACAGTCCCTTTTTCTTTCCATCTTTGCTACTCTTTCCTGCAGCTTCTCTTCCTTCTCCTATTCCTCACGGGATTCTCTCCCAAATGCCGGATCAGCAGAGTGGAGCAAAAAGACATTTTAGAGCTATCCAAATGTAAAGCTTCTGTATTGGGCTGTTATATTCCTGATGAGCCTGAGATGTTAGCAAAGAGACTTTCTCTATCTCTCTATTGCCATCTGTGGTCATTATAAGTTTTCCATCCCAGAAATAGAATAACAGAGTTGGAAGGGACCTTGGAGGTCTTCTAGTCCAACCCCTTGCCTAGGCAGGAAACCCTACACCATTTCAGACAAATGGTTATCCAACATCTTCTTAAAAAAATTTCCAGTGTTGGAGCATTCACAATTTCTGGAGGCAAGTTGTTCCACTGATTAATTGTTCTAACTGTCAGGAAATTTCTCCTTAGTTCTAAGTTGCTTCTCTCCTTGATTAGTTTCCACCCATTGCTTCTTGTTCTACCCTCAGGTGCTTTGGAGAATAGTTTGACTCCCTCTTCTTTGTGGCAACCCCTGAGATATTGGAACACTGCTATCATATCTCCCCTAATGAAATGTTTCTTTTCATTAAACTAGACATACCCAGTTCCTGCAACCGTTCTTCATATGTTTTAGCCTCCAGTCCCGTAATCATCTTTGTTGCTCTTCTCTGCACTCTGTCTAGAGTCTCAACATCTTTTTTACATCATGGCGACCAAAACTGAATGCAATATTCCAAGTATGGCCTTACCAAGGCATTATAAAGTGGTATTAACACTTCACGTGATCTTGATTCTATCTCTGTTTATGGAGTACAGAACTGTGTTGGCTTTTTTGGCAGCAGCTGTACACTGCTGGCTCATATCTAAATGGTTGTCCACTAGGATTCCAAGATCCCTCTCACAGTTACTACTATTGAGCAAGGTACCACATATATGGTACCTGTGCATTTTGTTTTTCTTCCCTAAATCTAGAACCTTGCTTTTTTCACTGCTGAATGATTAGCAAAGCTTAACCCTGGGCAAATTCCCATTAAAAGGATTAATAGGTATCATTCCTTCCAGATGCTGTGACCAGTTGCTAGATTTAGCCATACATTAAATAAGCTTCAGTTTAAGGCCTTGCAATCTGCAAGGCCTCACAAAATTTCAAAATTACACTTTTTTGATATTACAAATGAGTTTATTACTTATAGTAATAAAAGTGATCCCGATTACTTATTTCGTCAGCATTTTGAATACATATTAATGTGTCTCAGCATTATTTTAAAATTTACATTGAAGCGTTGCTTCCAGGTTATCCTGCAAACATCTCTGCTTTTGGCATTTGGTTTAGGTTATCTTTTCGAAACAGGTTTGTATATGATGACTCAGGCCAAACAAGAAACAAAAGTTAAAGTGTTCTCAGACCAGTTTTCAACGCCCCCCGCCCCACCAAAACCTCTTTTCTCAGCCTTTCCTGTGGTGAAGATACAAACATGTGAGGGAACAAAGTGTAAACTCATTTCTTTGGAGTAAAAAAAAAAATGAATAAACAAGTTAATCGGTGGGCAAAAGGCAAGCTGAGGTGTGAATTTTGTTGTCCCCCATGGGAGGTTGCGTGCAAACCTCAGAGTCATATCCCCCCATTCTGCTTTTCATCTTTCAACTATGTGTCATAGAAAACCTGAGTTTCTTTTTCAGCTTTCTTGACTGTGATATCCTGTTCACCACCAGATAGACTTCAGAAGGTGTGTGTGTACATGCGTTCCTCCTTCTCTTGCTAAGGTATGTATTTATGGAGAGATATTTATGGGTCCATGCTTAGATCCATGTTTAGAAGGGGTGGGGGAGAAGTATGGAAGTAACATTGCAATCAGCAGAACGGTTCAATTATTCTAATATTTTGCTCTAATTGAGATGGGCAGAAAGCATCCACTCTCGGCTGAGGGGCTAAATTCTTTTGCTGGCTTTTTGAAGCTGTGCCTTGAGCAACAGGTTGATCTGGGGCGATTTTGCAGTGATTTCTTGGCACTCCTGATGCAACCCCCCCCCCTTCTATCTGCCAATCTCTGCATGTAAAACAGGTCTTTTCTGGCCAGATTGAGACCTGCCACGCTGGTTAAGAAGCTGGATTAGGAAGTGGGTTCTAGTTTAACTTCAACCATGGATCCTTAACCTGCATAATAGGGGGCCAATTATTTTCTTTTAGCCCAGCTTATCTCACAGGGTTGTTGCAGAGAAAAACAGGAGGAGGAAATCCTAGACATGCCATAATGAGGTCCTGAATAAAAGGCAGTGTTTATCTTAAAATAATAAGTATGTCAAGATCGATTGGAACCCCAGAGCCATCACCATTCATCTTTCTCAAGTATTATTTTGAGGGCAATTTTTTTAAAAAAAATTGCACTTAGGAATGGAAAACAAATGAATTTACATTAGCAAGATTTTTCCAATGTGCTTATGCGCATTAGAATATTTTATGGATCACTTCACCTTTAATGAGGAGAAGTTTAATGCCAGAGTTTTACACCCAATACTTATTCTTTCCCTTAATTGTGCTTCTGAGCATGTCTGGTTGTTTCGTTTACCCAGACAATGTACATGTCTTCCTTTATGTCTCTTTTAAAAAGAATTTTAAGGGTGAAAGGTGACCCATGTGTGGGTATGATGGGGTGCCCTGCAGGTTTTAAGGACAAAAATTCTGCAGGCAAAGAATGTGCAAATAAAATTAGTGTATAAAACCTCTGATGATCTTGAATATTAATAATACTTTTTTAAAAAAAAATTCATTGAAAAAAAAAATCAAGGAGAATAAAAATATGGGTCTAGGCTGCCCTGCCAAGGGTTTTGCTTAGGCTGCCACTCTGAATGTGGAAGAGAAAAGCTTGCATGTTTTAGTAGCAGAAAGTCTGCTAACCGCAATTTGAAGCTCTACCTTTTTTTAGCATGTTTAAATGGAGATTGGATCTGTTAGCATTACTGTAATAGAAGATTCCTACACCGAGCAGGAGGTTAGCAGAACCTTCTGAAGTCATTAGAGAGGGACATTTTGTGCCCATTAAGGAATCCAGGCCAGCCTATTCATAAACAAAATGCCTTCAGCTACAGCTCCCATAGAAGGCTGGAGCTGATGGGATTAAGAATTTACATTCGCCCACCCAAATTCTAAGGACAGGACAAGACCTTTAGGACATAATAGGATTAACCCACCACTATTAGAATAGTAAAAGACAAAAGGCTCACTACATTGCACAACTCCCTGGAGCATCTCGATCACCAAATCCCAGAATCCTATAAAGATCCATCTAGCCATTTTGTCAGCCACTCCAGAAACATGCTGCTGTCATCAAAGTTTCTGGCATCCAAATAAACAGAGACCTTCTTTCCAACTAGCCAGCCTCCATTTTATTTCTAGCATCTTTCTCCCAGATTGAAACTGGGCCAGATTTTTCTTCCTACAATGCTGTCTAAGGAATTCTGGGGAGTTGAAGTCCAGACAGTTCAAAGTAGCTGAGATTGAGAAAATTGATCTCCAAGAGCCACTCAAATCCTTACATTCCATGATCCTATCATTGGCTCAGTAGCTGAGATTTCTTTTGTATGAGAATTGGAGTTATCCTTAGTTTAGTGATGTCATTTCCAGAGGTTTGAATTCTTTAGCTCCTCTTGCTTGCAGGTTTAAATGCATTTTTTCTCCCACAAGGAACATTCTTAAGTAATATGTTTGATTTTTAAAAGTCAAGGAGGAGGGAGACCTGGAAGAGTTTACAGATAGTTCTTGACTCCATACGGAAGCTTCTGCTTCCAAATGTGCAAAATTCAGATTTAAAACTACTTGATATGGCTAATGGTACTGAGAAAGCAACCGCATGTTGGCTGGGGAATTCTGGGAGTTGAAGTCCACATCTCTTAAAGCTGACGAAATTGAGAAGTTCAGTGATCTAGACAGAATTTAGATGTTTTATTCTGGTTGCATTTGATTGAATTTAGATGTTCAATCCCAATCTTGACCACTTTAAAATGTAAGGACTTCAATTCCTGGCGGGGGAATTCTGGGAATTGAACTCCACAGGTGTTAAAGTGGCTAAGATTGGGAACCCCTACTTTAAATGCCTAATAATTATTAAGAATTCCTATGACCCTTTTGAAAACAGTGGGCATTTCCACATCATGCATTGGGGAGTGGGAATTTAAACTAATTACATAAATGTTTTTTTCTCCCAGTGTTATAGCTGATGAATGTTGCTCCACTTTGAAATCTCATTTTTAATGCAGCTTCTGGAATTCACAGTCTGTTCTTCTTTCCCCATGTAGGATCAACCATGCTGAGTGCAAAGCCCATCTTGGCTGCCTTCACCCTACAACTTCTCTCCCTCCTCTTTTTTTTGACCGGAGTCTCTCCCAATTGCTACGTTGGTACAGCCGATGAATGCGATGAGCAAAAGGACTTTGTGCCTGGCTACAGCATGGCTGAAGAAGGCTTTGATATCACCACGCTGGAGAAGAAGGCCAATGTGTTGGATCTGAGTCAGTGGCAGAGGGCTGATGGCACTTGCACCCTGTGCCGTAACCCTTTCCTGCAGGATAGGCCTCTTCAGAGACTTCCCTTGGTGGCCGTTGACTGGGCAGCCAAAGTAAGTTGTCAGAGGAAGGTTCACACTTCCCTACAAAGCTCGGGCATCGATGTGGTTCATGCCGCAGCATCTGATGTGAAGAATGACTGGAAAGTTGGACTTGATGTACAGGTGAAACCCGAGCAACAGGTCCAGATGACGATGTCTGGAGCTCACTCCACAGTGGCAGACTTCACCATGCAAAAGAATAATCAAGACAAGTATACTTTTGCAAGTCACGAGATCTCCTGCTCTTATTACAGGTGAATGAGGCGTGGGTGAAGGATAATGGCTGGGAAATCCTCCAGGGCTTTACTACAATCATCCATTTGTATGGCAGATATTTTGAGGGCATCTTACGAGGAAGTATGCAAGTCTAGATTTCTTACCTGCCAGGTAACAGGTAATCCATTTACGACCACAACTGAGCCCAAAATTTCTATTGCTAAGCGAGACTGTTGACAAGTGAGTTTTGCCCCATTTTATGACCTTTCCTTCCACAGCCTGTAAGTGAATCCCTTTGGTTGTTAAATTAGTATCAGGGTTGTTAAGTGAATCTGGTTTCCACATTGACTTGGCCTGTCGTATGGTTGCAAGAGGGGATCGCATGATCCCTGGAACATGGCAACCATCAGAAATATGAACCAGTTGCCGAGTGTCCGAGTTTTGATCACGTGACCGTGGGAATGCTACAGTTGTAAGTATGAAAAGTGAACCTAACTCACTAATGTGGACTTCAACTCTCAGAATTCCCCAGCAGGCCATGTTGGCTGAGGAATTCTGGGAGTTGAAGTCCACACATCTTGAAGTTGCCAAGTTTGAAAAACATTGCCTTAATCCAACCAGCAGCTCTTAAATTCCTATCCAACTGTTATAAGTCCTTGACTTATAAGAGTTCATTTAGTGACCATTCAAAGTTACAACAGCACTGAAAGAAATGAATTATAACCGATCACAGTTACAACTTTTGTAGCCTTTCCATGATTATGTGATCAAAATTCAGATGCTTGGCAATTGGTTTATATTTATGACTGTTTCTGTGTACTGGGCTCATATGGTCATCTTTTGCGACCTTTGACGAGCAAAATCAATGGGGAAGTTCGATTCACTTAATAACCGGGTTACTAACTTATCAACTGCAGTGATTCATTTAACAACTGTGGCAAAATGGGGCAAAACTCACTTTACAAATGTCTCACTTAACAACAGAAATTTTGGGCTCAACTGTAGTCATAAGTCGAGGACCAACTGTATTAACCAGGCTTGAGCCAGCTAGATGTTTCCACCTGCTAAGGCCTGGATGGTAATTAGCATTAATTAATAACATAATTTGCCTTACCCATAGTCCTGCCACTAGATGGAAATGAGTCATGCTTTCCATCAGAAGTGGAAAACTGAGTTAACGGTATTTTCCTCTCTCCCAACAGTGTCCCATTGTAGTGCTGGCTTTCATTTATTTATTTATTTTTGAAAAAAATAATTATGCTGCTTTTTCTACAGCACTGATTTCCAGGGTAGCTTTAAAAAGTGATACAGGTAATCCTCAATTTATGACCACAATTGAGCCCAAAATTTATGTTGCACAGTAAGAAATTTGTTAAGTGAATTTTGCCCCATTTTACAACTTTTCTTGCCACATTTGTTAAGTGAATCACTGCAGTTGTTAAATTAGTAATATGGTTGTTAAGTGAATCCGGTTTCCCCTTTGACTTTGCTTGCCAGAAGGCCGCAAAAGGGGATTCCATGATCCCGGGCACTATAACCGTCATGAATACGAGTCAGTTTTCAAGCATCTGGATGTAAATCACGTCACCATGGGGATGCGGCAATGATCATAAGTGTGAAAAATGGCCATAAGTCACTTTTTTCAGTGCTGTTGTAACTTTGAATGGTCACTAAACAAACTGTTGTAAGTCGAGGACTACCTGTACACCTTCAGTACAAAAGGTAAAAAAGACTAAAAGAGAAAGCAAGGAAAAGGGAAAAGTATGAATTGGTTCAAATATATCCGAAGGTTGAGTCATGGCAATTGCAATATGTCGATAAAGATTCTCAATCATCCAGGTTAAATTGTCTGAAGTCATGGCAACTGAGGCTTATTCTCTTATCAATCTGCCTAACTAGCTCGCTCTAACTGATGAAGCTGCTTGGATGAGCAGCAAAAGGTCTCAAACTAACAAGAAAATAAATCCAGTTGCCCTGACTCAACCTTCAGACAACTTTACCTGGATGACCATCGAACTTGGTTCAAATTAAGTTTCTCGATGGATCTTGCCTGAGATTCATTGGAATTCAGATCCTTCGCTGTCTCCTGGTAGAACGTGGTATTTTTTATTTGATACATGCTTATATTTAAGGGGATACAAGACCCATCTTTGTGAGGTTGGGATGGCTGAGAGAGAGGGACTGGCTTGAAGTTACTCACTGAATTTCCATTGTTGAAGGTGGATCAGAATATGGGTTTTCCTTCTCCTTGTTCAACACCTTCACCCCCTTACTATACATCCTGGGCCAAGTTGCCATCCAGTTCTAATTCTGACAAGCTGGAATAAAACCCCAAAAGGGATTTATCATGTGAAGTTATCCACCCTCTGATAATATAGCAGACATCATCTAAGTGATCAATAGCTGAATAATATATGATGACGCACAGATAGAAGATATTTATCTATACAAACTGAACAAACCCAATATATGGAGTTGAAAAGGACAAGATTTGAGAGTTCCCCCATTTTAAGGAGTTGACAAATTCATGGAGGACATGTCCTTCTCTGGTTGTTAGAAAAATCCTCTAGGAAATTAATCATCTTTCTTGATTCAGCTCTTGGTAACAGCTATGGGGAGCATTCCAGTATCTAACTCAATGGTCAATCTAAGCAACTTTAAGATCTCTGGACTACATCTCCCAGAGTTTCCCAGGCAGAGAGCTGGCTGGGGAATTCTGAGAGTTGAAGTCCAGACATCTTAAAAATTGCCTAGTTGAGAAACTCTGATCTAGTTACTCACCAATTCTGCAAGATTGCTACCCTTTGATCCCAAACCACTCCTTTTTGATTTGACCGGAAGGCCTGCCATTTCTGTCACCCTACCTGTATGGTCTTTTATTTCCTTTTCAGCTTCCGTATCAGCCAATACATTCTCTCCAGGCATTTTAAGCGCTCCCTTCGCAGTCTCCCTGCCAAGTACCGATCCAACTCCCTACCGGAATATCGACAGCTCATCGGCACTTACGGGACCCACTTCATCGATCATCTGCACTTGGGGGGCCGCGTGAGGGATGTGACAGCATTGCGGGTCTGTGAGACAGTTTTGGAGGGCGCGTCTGCTGATGAAGTGAAAGACTGCCTAACCCTCGAGGCCTCGGCCAACATTGGGGGTGGCAAAGGAAGCCTCAGTGCAGCCTACAACGCATGTGAAGAGCTGAAGAAGAAGAAGAATTTCAAAGGAAGCTTCCACCAGACCTATAACGAGAGACACACTGAGGTGATCGGAGGGGACCAACACACTGACTTGCTCTTTTCAAATGAACAGAATCCTGAAGGTTATAAGCAGTGGCTGGAAAGCCTTAAATATATCCCTGCACTCCTTTCTTACTCCCTGAAGCCCATTCATACTTTGCTGCCTAAGGGTCACCCAAAGCGGGACAGTGTGCAACAGGCAGTGAGTGAGTACATCAGAGAAAGGGTCCTTTGGAGGAACTGCAGCCAGCCTTGTCCTCCCGGCTCCCAACGCAGCCTCCGAGATCCCTGCTCCTGCGTATGTCCCAATGACGGCACCACTAACACCATGTGCTGCTCCCGGGAGCGAGGCCAGAGCAAGCTAACGGTGACGATTCGACGTGCCTTTGGTCTCTGGGGAGACCACTCCACAAGAACGGATGCTTATGTCAAGGTATTTTTCCATGGGGTTGAGAGCCGGACATCCACTGTGTGGAATAATGATAATCCAGTATGGATGGCCCACTTGGATCTGGGGAAGGTCCAGGGCTTGGGAGAAGCCGGCAGGCTCCGAATACAAGTCTGGGATGAAGACAACCGTTACGATGATGATCTGTTGGGGACATGTGACCGAACTCCCACATCTGGGAAACCTCATATCGAGGTGTGTTACTTAAATCATGGACGCCTTGAATTTCAATATAATTTGGAATGTGGCCCCTTCTTAGGAGGGCCCTACTGCTTGGATTATGTCCCTCAGCAGCCACACAAGGTTGCTTCGTTACAACGTGGAGCAAAGTGAAACCCGTGATAGAAAGAGGCTGCTCAAGGGGTTACACGTAGTCCTCAACTTATGACCACAACTGAACCCAAAGATTCCCATCGCAGAGTAGTTAAGTGAGTTTTGATCCATAGATGGCCTTTCTTGTCGCAGTTGTTAAGCAAATCCCTGCAGTTGTTAAGTGAATCATGGAGTCATTAAGTGAATCTTGCTCCTCCCTCCCTCCCCCTGGACTTTGCTTCTCAGAAGCCCGCTGGTAAAGTCACAAATGACCCCAGGACACTGCAATGGTCATAAAATTATGCCACTTTTTAGGTGCCCAAATTTTGATTCTCTAACTTTGGGATGCTGCAACAGTCATAAATTCCTTTTTTCACTGCCATTGTAATTTTGAATGGTCATTAAATGAATGGCTGTAAGTCGAGGACTACCTGTATTCATGCTACTACTTATTTTTAATGCCTGCCCTGGATTTCTTTATATAAATTCTTGTTTAATTACTGAAGATCAGTGTTTCTCAACCTTAGCAATTTTAAGACATGTGGATTTCAACTCCTAGAATTCCCCCTAGCTCGCTGGGGAATTCTGGGAATTGAAGTCCACACATTTTGAAGTCACCAAGGTTGAGCTACACTACTGTAAATCTATCTACAAAAGCTAAAACAAAGAACACAAAACAGAACACATTGCTTATGTCAGGGGTGAGTTTCTGCATGGCAGAAGCGTCCAGGCGGATTGGTGTAGCCTCTCACTGCTGCCGCTACCGGTTCGCCCAATATGGGGCGAACTGGTAGCAAGCCATCACTGGCTCATGTACTATGCAAACAAAGGCAACCCTAGAGACAATGTTGAATGCTTTTTCTCATGCAGAAAAAGAGGTCTTCCAGATTGTCCTGTATAAATGATGGAGATTGGAAATAATTTTTGTTGTGGCCTCAATCAAATCAGCCTGCAATATTAGAATTATGTAATGCTTGGAAAAGGTGCTTCCAACGGAGCACAAGACATACATAGTTGCTAGGAATGCTTTTCAAATTTCATCTTGATCGTTCACAATATTCCTTTTCATTGTCCTCCTGTTTGTTTTCCTATCTGTCCCATGTAATTTTTTTAAAAAAATCACATTTGGAAAAACCAAGTCTTCTGGAAAAAGTTCAGTGTGAAATAACTTATCACTCCATAAATAAGCCATGTACCACACAAATACATCACACAGACTAATGTTGTATTTTGAGTTATGACAGCAGGACTGTAACCTTGTTTTCTGTTATCCTTAAGATTTATATTGACTGTTTCCCTATGACTATCATTAAGTGTTGTACCTTATGATTCTTGACGAATGTATCTTTTCTTTTATGTACTCCAAGAGCGTATGCACCAAGACAAATTCCTTGTGTGACTAATCACTCTTGGCCAATAAAGAATTCTATTCTGTTCTGTTCCGTTCCGTTCCGTTCCGTTCCATTCCATTCTACTCTACTCTACTCTAGATGAACCTACTAATTAACTTTTTACCAATGGCTTTCCACTCATCTATGGATACCAGGCATTCAAATTTCACACCTGTTGTCTCCCTGTAATCTGAGACATCTAATTTTGTAACTAGTTATTAGAGGCATATTTGATATCTTATTGATAGGAAAATATACATAGGCTTCACTTAATGTTAAGAGGTATTTTTACTGCTTCCTTGTGCTTTGGCTAAAATGAAATACTGCTTGGAATTGCGAGTTCTCAAACAACAATAATTTGTAGCTTGATCCAGTTAATTGATCTAGAAAATATATCTTCCCAGGTTTGCAATCAAATTGTTGCCTTGCTCATTTCATGCTTAGATCCTGCCCCCCCCCGATGTTAATTTAGCAAATTTATAAACTCATCTTTATAATAAGTTTGTAGTTGTATTCTAATGCTCACATCACAGGAAGGGAATATTCAAATTTTTCAAGGTGGTTGCACCCTTGTATTCTACAATTTATAAAGAATGGAAAATACAAGATAATCCATGAAAACTAAATTTTAACAGGCAAATCTTATCCTGGATTGATTTGAAAAGTGTGCTTTTAAGTCAAAAACTTAAACATGGAAAATTAAAATAACCCCAAAAAACAAATGTATTAAATCCCTGCAAATAAAATTTTAAGAATCTTCAAAAATATCGTATCAAGAATAAATTGTACAAATCAAATTCCTAAATCAGAGGAAACTTTTTTAAAAAGGGGACAATTTTTGCAGTTATATCAACCTCAAATTAAAATGAAAAACCTCCTCAAAATAGAAGTAGGAGGGATGCAGAAAGATTGGAAAAAATATAAAAAGAAAGCAAGAATGGAAGATTAACCTTTTCTTTTGGCTTTGTAGTTGTTCTACTCATGGTTAAAAATGATTATGTTGTAGGTATTATAACTACTGAGGGGGGAAAAAGTATAAAGTTAAATATTGATTTTTAAATATGATGTATTAATGGTTGATTAATCCTTTTTGGTTTTTTAGTTTATGTATTAATGGTTAATTATGTTGTTGATTATCTTTTAAATTTTAAAAATTGGAGGGAGGAATAATGAAGGGGGAAATTTAGAAACTTAAAAAATGTAGAAATTTAATTAGTGAATATCTAAGGTTTATTTTTTGTTATGAGATTTCAAAATAAGAAACCAAGAATGGAAGATTAATTTTTTTTTTTTTTTTTGGCTTTGCAGTTGTTCTATTCATGGTTTAAATTGATTATGTTTTAGGTGTTATAACTATTGAGGGGGAAAAAGTATAAAGTTGAATATTGATCTTTAAATATGATGTATTAATGGTTAATTAATCTTTTTTGGTTTTCTAGTTAATGTACTAATGGTTAATTATAAAAATGTAGAAATTTAATTAGTGAATATCTAAGGTTTATTTTTTGTTATGAGATTTCAAAATATCTGAATTTTGAGAAAAATAGGAGGGGGAAAAATGTTTTTAGGTTTGAATGTTTAAGATTTGTTAATGGTTTTAAAATTCTTAGAGTTATTGGATTACATGTTACTTTGTGTTTATATAAAGGGAGGTTGATGAAATTGTAAAAGGGGAGTTAAGGGGTCTTGGGAGTTATTAAATCTTGTAGTTAGCTAGTTTATTTTAGCGAATGTTTGGTGAAATCTATGCCCTGTTTTTGTTCTGGGAAGTCGGGGGTGGGGGGGTGGTAAGGAGGGGATGAAGATTGAGTTTACCAAATTGATTTTTTTTTCTTTTTTTCTGATGATAGTATGAATGATTGTTTATATTGTATACTTGTTTGATCAGAAAATAAAAACTTTTTTATTAAAAAAAAAAAGAATAAATTGTACAACATGTATTTTTAAAACTTTAAATGCAGCTGAGAGGTGTTTTTTTTTAAAAGGTTTATCTCATCTTGCCTCAAATCTTTTTTTTTAAATTTTTTAAAAATCTTATACACAAGCAAACATTTAGTACATCAATCATTCCTTCCGTGTGACATCTCGGCATTTTCTCTGTAATTTCATCTTTTTTTATTATTTCTTCTGTCTTCGTTTTCACCAAATCTATTACAACATTTCTCCAAGAGTACAATATTCTAATTATACCATTTTCGCATAGCTATTTATAGATTTACTTATTTGTATCTCTTTTCTAACCAATGATAAAATTGATCCCATATCTTAAAATATTCTGAATCCTCTTTCTTTAACCATCAATCTATTCATTTCTGCACAGTTTAATATTTTTTTACTTACTTCTCCTTCCAAAGGTATTTTCTATGCTTTCCAATTTTGTGCAAACACAATCCTTGCAGCTGTTATTATATGTATAATCAAATATGTATTTTTTTTGCTAATTTTCTCTGGGAGGATACTCAGTAGGAACAGCTCTGGTTTTAAATCAATATGTTGTTGTGTCATTTCTTCCAATCATGTCTTAATTTTATTCCAATAGTTTTTAGCTTCTGAACATGTCCACCACATATTCTTTGCCCAAGCTATCATTGTTTCCTTTACTTGTTCTTCCTCTAACTCAGTGCCAAGTAAAAAATTATAATTTTTTAAAATTAATTTGTCCTCTGTTCCTGTGAGTATCCTATCCAACTCTGTCTTTTCTAAGTGAAAACCATATAATTTAGCATCTTTTTCATATCTTGTTTGTATTTGCATGTATACCTTGCCTCAAATCTTTGACCCCTTTTTGGCACAATTTGAAAAAGATGGGAAACAAGGAGGTATAGATTGGCAGTAAGAATGAATTTGAAATAGAATCATGCAAAGATGAAGAAACATGTAATTGCGAGAATTTATATAAATTGCTATTAAATTATGACACAGAAACTGAACAAGTTAAAGAATGCAATGCTACATAGATGCTAAATTCTTGGCACGATAGTGGCATGGAATTTGGGGGGAAACATGGGTAAAATATTTTTACTTTGCAATAATTGAAGAGGAAAATGTTGCAAAATGATGGCATTTGACACCTCTGAAAGTAACTACCAAAACGTATAAGAACATTTTAAGTAAATGTTGCATATTCAGAAGAGGATGGAACCTATGATCATATAAGGTGGGCTTGTGAAGACACCAAAAGATTTTGGTTGGTGATCCATAGAATGTGAGTGAAAATTATAGGAATCCCTTTTCAGATAAAACCAGAATCGTTCTTATTAGTCTATGCAAGAACTGAGTAGAAAGAACAGCGCCTTATTGTTGTGTAAGATCACCATGATTATTATTTGTGTAGAAATGGAAAAAAATAAAGAAGTCCCAAATTTTGAATATTGGATATTTAAAGTTACGGCCATGGCAGAGATGGCAGAACTGGTATGTCCAATAAGAGTGAAATTTGCAGATTTTATTAAAGACTGGAGACCATTTATGGATTGTACTACAAAATTGGAGAAAAATAGCTTAATGATCATCGGTTTATAGATAAATAAGGGGAGAATACTGAAAATGTAAAATGGTGATTAAAACAATAAGAAAGGATTAAAGGATCTGTGAGTTAGACTGTATATTTAAGTTACATATTTAGTTTTATATTTGCAGGTTAAATTTATGTACTATGTTCTGTATTGTTTTTAATGTTTATTTTATGTGTAGAATTTTAATAAAGTTTTTTTTAAAAGCCTTTTTGGATTCCTCAGTTCTACTTCATCAGTATGCTTATGCAGTATAGGCTAGGTTTAATCTAGGTCACTGGTGGTCTTAAAATCCATTTCTTGTCTTTTTACATTTAGGTGTGGTTTCAAGACACCTGCAAAAGCTGTTACCCTGTTATTTTTAATGTGATAGAAATACGAAAATTACTAAATCATCAGAGTATTTAACTTACTTTAATTTGTATTGATTTAATTTTAATGCAAATTAATTACAATCATATTTATTTTTCCAGCTTCACCCATTATTTTTAAAATCATGGCTACACACCCATCAATCAGAATAGAGGTGGAAGGGATCTTGGAGGCCTTCTACTCCAACTTGCTGCTCAAGCAGAAGATCCTATACCAGTGATGGCTAATCTTTTCAGGACCAAGTGTACGTGCGTGTGCCCAAGCCCCTCAAAATGCAATGTGTGCACAGCCCTGAGGATGCACCCCATCCCCACTGCATGCGCCCCACCCCATACACATGTGTGTACCCCCCTAGTCCTTCTTTTCTCTAGTCTGGCCATACCCAAATCCTGCAACTGTTCTTCATATGTTTTAGTCTCCAGGCCTTTAATCACCTTAATTGCTCTTCTCTGTACTATTCCCAAACTCTTAGCATCTTTTTTGTCATGTAACTTAGAGAGAGAGGGAGGGAGGGAGGATGGAAGTGATTATGCAAAATAAGAACATGAAAAGATGGATATCAAATCATTCGGTTTTGCAAATGGGGAAGGAAAAGTGGCAGAAACCTGCATTTCATGTGTGATAATTTAAAATTAATTCAGCCAGACTGAGGAAAAGTGAAACCTCTTAATATTTAGCAGCGCTTACTAAAAGTTTCCTGCAAAATTGGTCTGGGTAGTGTGAGTCAAGTGACAAGGCGGTGACTTCCCAGAGATTGCCGTCTTTCTTTGATGTCAGCCTCCATTAATAAATCATACTAACCAGGTCACACAACTGTTTGAAGGACAACAATCAGAACCACCTCGCGGATGCAGGATGATTACACACATCCAGGCCTTTCTGAACACTAAGCACAGGGGGACATTAAATGAAGAACGAGGTAAAGTACAATTTATTTGAAATTACTGTTATCAGAGCCTCTTTTACAAGCATCAAATGGAAACCAAAAAGCCCACATCACAGTTTATTTCACGCCTTGTGTATCCTGCATGAGGCCAACTCAGGAAGTGGAAAGAAATATAAAAAAGACACAAGAGACCTACTGTGGAAGAATTGTTTTTTCACCTAAGTGTTGAAGAAAACAGGTTTTTAAAACATAAAGCTTGTTTCTCTTCTCCAACATAACCCAGTTGCTACTCTTCCCCCCACAACTTTTTAATTTTATTTTATCCATACCATGCATATTTTGTGGACAGTGTATTGACTGGGTCAATGTCTTTTTTAAACAATGTTAACAGTAATAATACAAATAAGTATACATAGTCCTAATCTTCCAACTTCATCAATACCATTCTCTTTATAATTCTTTTTTTAAAAATTTGATTTATATGCCGCCCTTCTCCGGAGACTCAGGGCAGTTTACAATGTGTTAAGCAATAGCCTTCATACTTTTGTATATTTATACAAAGTCAGTTTATGGCCCCCACAAACTGGGTCCTCAATTTACCTACCTTAGAAAGGATGGAAGGCTGAGTCAACCTTCAGCCTGGTGAGATTCGAACTTACAGTAATTGCAGACAGCTGGTGTTAATCACAATGCTATCAGTCTGCTGAGCCACCAGGTTTTTCCCTCATTAATACATTTAAACCTAAATAACATTTATTTGCACCATTTATTTGTTATCCCCTAAGTCACTTAATATTTAAATTACTCATTATTCCACCATAATTTCGATATCCCAAATGTCTAGGACTACTAATAAAGCCAAATATTAACAAAATTTAATCAATCCTGGAATTATATTTTTAAATCCCCACAATTTCTAATCCTTAAATCTGGATATATTTTAACACACTGTTAATTTTATAAACTTCCATCTTTTAACATTAGCTTATTTTTAATTATAATAAATTTTATTGTCTATTAGTATATATACTACTATTTTCCCTATTTGTATTTTCTACTTTTCCATTTTATTAATATATTTTCTCACTATCCCTAATCTCTTAACCTTTTTGGAGTTCTGTCATTTATTGACTTTTTAGTTACCCTTTTATTCCTCTCTCTTGGAATCTTATAACTTTTTTTGATATTTTTATACTGAGTGTTCCCTTCGGATTGCCCTTTTTCTCTTTCTGATGTATCATTTCAGCACCCATACATCAATCTTTTTTTTTTAAAGAGATTTTTCCTTTTTTACTCTAAACATTCCTTTTTTTAAAACCATTTCCCTTTTTTCCTCTGTTCTATTATAAACTTTTAAAGAATTACCTATTTGATTCCTACTTACCAATCCTTTCTCTTCATTATCTTTGTCTTTCTCCATCTCATTTTGATTTTTCTCTTCCACTGCCTCTTTTAATTTCTAATTTATTTTCTGAATATCAGTCATCTTTTCCCCCAGTTGTTGAGAGACTTCTATACCCATTTCTTTATCTTTAGACAATCCCCGTCTCCTTATTATTCTTTATAGTTTCATGCATGCTTTTGAGTATCAGAATTATTTCTTCATATCCCTCTATTATCTCCCGATAGTCCATTTTGTAACAATTTGATAAAAATTACTCAATATCCCTCTATAGTTCCAACGTCTTAGTGTTTAAAAACTCCAACAAGCCAATTATTAGTAAGAGTTAGTCAATCCCATAGTTATACCACCAATCCAGTAGTGGGCTTCAATTTCATCTGCTACAGGTTCGCTTGTGGGCATGTGCGCACTTACGCACGTGTGTGCTGCTTCTATGCATGCACAGAAACTTCTGTTCATGTACTGAGACGTCCGGGCGGGTGGGCAGAGCCTTCCACTGCCGCTGCTACCAGTTCGCCCAATCTGGGGCGAACCTGTAGCAACTCACCACTGCTCCAATCCCCTAAATTTATAATCTTTAAAGTTCTTTAATATTTTACAGCTTTTTGATTTTCCATTTATCTTCCCAACTGTCCAGATTTTTAAGTCTTATTTAACTTTTCTATTCTCTTTTCTACTATCACCTTTCTTCTTTTGCCTTGTAGAATGTTCTATCAAATAGCATTAATAATCCAAGTCCAAGTTAATCCACTAGGTTTCCTCCAATCTTTCAAATCCACAATCCAATAACCAGTTTCAATAGAGTTTAATTATTTGCAATTTAGTTCATCTTAAAAATCTTCAAAAAAGAAAAGAAGCTGAGAATTTCAAAATATCCAAATCGTCCTCTAAAATAGAATCAAGGTTAAGTCGCCTTTCAAGTACTGATTACTTTCTTCTGTTATGTGTATTAGACATAATACACTTTTATTGAAAATTCTCCCGCTGTAATGCTCCTCTTCTTCCAGTAGATGGCTCTCCTATTCCCAATTCCAACATTAAACAGTATGTCAAAAACAGCTGATTCTCTAATAAATCCAGGGGGTTTAAAAATACAAATAAGAAAGACAGTTTCTCCCAAAAATCACCTTTCAAATTGTTTTAAACTTTTTTTCCAGCTTTCTATATTTTAAAGCTTTCTTTGGGCATTTCTTTCACCTCTTAATTTTCAGTCTTTAATCTTCTCCGTGTGTCTAATCGCCACTTCCTTAACGCTTGGAGTACTTTTTGAAATTCTTGTACTTAAAGTCTTTAAGGTAAGAGTTGGAAGTTATCTCACCCAGCTTCAATGCTCTGTCCACTGACCACTCCAGCACAAATCTTATCCCAGCTTGTGACTAGCACAAGTTGTCCCAGCTTGTGACTAGCCAAAGAGGTCATTGTCCCTGCTGCCGCTCAGGAGAGCTTGCTTCAGACCTAACGAGGAAATTGCGAATTCCTCATGGTCCACAAAGCGCCTCTCCTTTCTTTGATGCCCCTACAAGGTGGCTTGGACCCATAGGGTCTCCTGACAGCAGTTGCCAGCTGGATTTCGCAGGGCTAGGTGGAGTCCGCTATTTTCTAGCTGTTCTTGCTCTGATGTCAACCGGAAGTCCCTCCCCAGTTGCTACTCTTCTGCACAGGAAAAAGCTAGATATTAATTCTAAGAGGCACTTGTTTTTCCCCCACAGAATTACACCAAAATGCCACTTTACAGGTTGGGAGATATTTAAGTATGTAACTCTATTCATCACTAACCAGCAAAGTTTGAATAAAAAAAAAGGAAGTATGCACACTGATTCTCATAAGATTGAATTCCACTGAATTCCACAAAAGGAGGAATAAAAGAATAAGGAGATAATTTATGGGTGCGGTGCAGCTCAATTCCAAAACTACTTTTACATCTTTGGCATCCATGCATTTTGAGATCCGAAAACAGCCTATAATAGGTTTAACATAATCTATAAAAAAAAATCCATAACCTACTCAACATAACAATTTCTGATCTCATCCACATTTGTATCATGGCCGTGGTGCGTCGACATAAATTTAGGCCCCAGCCCTCAAGATTGCCCATCCAATGTAAAACATTGCATTCAGATGAAGTATGCTAGCAGCATCCTTTCACTCACCTTCTGGCCTATACAAGCAAAGTATTTTGTTCTAGAACAGGGGCTCTGCAAACTTGGCAACTTTTAAGACTTGAGGACTTCAACTTCCAGAATTCCTCAGCCAGTATGCAAGTTGAAATCCACAAGTCTTAAAAGTTGCCAAGCTTGCAGAGCCCATTCTATAATGAGCTACTCAACCTTTCTCTAAAGTAGCCAAATCTTAAAACTTGGAGCTGGTTGAAGGCAGTAAATCCTGCCTTCCTAGCCACTAAATTCAAGTAATCATTCATCTTCAGTTAAGTGTCTTTTGATCTCTGACTGATGCTGAACATCTGGTAACTTTCAAATCCCAGGACCTATCCTTGAAATCAATTTGCTGACATCTAGTTCAGGTAATAATGTTTTGTTAAATTTGAGGGCCTTTTTATGCAGCAATTGTATCATACTTTCTAGTTTATCTTGCTCAAATTGTAAAAAGAAGACAAGGAGATGTCCATTTGTAGACCCAGCTATGGCTTCTTGCACGCTTCATCTAGCAATGGAGTCCAGCAGCTCAGGTACGGGGGTTGCTATGCAAGAGGATGTCAGGTTTCGATGTTGTCTCAAATAAAATAAATTGCATTTCCAAACAGATAGTCTTTGAAGAAATCTTTCGTTTTATTAAGCACGACAATCTGTCCCCGATCATGGCATAGCCAACTCTGACTTCCTAACCCCAAACCTTCCCTTTCCGTTCCCCAATTCTCTGTGTATCATTGGCCTTCTTCCAAATCACTCTACCCATATCTACTACTTAAGCTCCCAGGAATGTCCCCCCCTCCCATCTCATCTCCTACGGGATATTATCTTCAAGGAAAATAAGTAGGTGAAATGTCAAGCGTCCTCTTGCCAGCTGCCCCCTCTTCTCCTTCTTATGTCAGCACTAAAGTAAATGCAGGTTGAAGTGCTGACAGAGGAAGGCTGGTACAGCAACAAATCAAGGTCCAGGATATTTGTCGGACCATCTGCAACCAGCAACAGCTCCCCATCGCCCGGTGCATTCTCACAGGGAGGGCCTACTCAGGGTGCCGTCGGCTAGACAGTGTCGACTGGCGACCCCTAGAGGCAGAGCTTTCTCTGTGGGTGCTCCCACCCTCTGGAACCAACTTCCTCTGGGGCTCCGGTTGGCCCCTGACCTTCGCACCTTCTGCCGCGACTTAAAGACATGGTTGTTCAGCCTGGACTGGGGGGGTTAACATGTATTTTAACACGCTTTTATTCGGATATTTTATTGTTGTTAGCCGGCCTGAGTCCTATGGAGATAGGGTGGCATATAAATAAAATAAAATAAATAAATAAATAAAATAAATTCCAAATGATCCATAAACCCTGACTTAAATGAACAGGGTCTCATATCCAGCAATCTGTAGAATAAAGCTTCAGAGAGCCTTAAGAAACTTCCAGATGACCATCACATTGCTACTCATGCTGTCTTGGTTGATACCACACTTGATGCTCCACTAGACACATTTCTGAAATGTCCATTCCCACTTCTGGAGCCAGACAGGCCTTGGTAATAGTTCTTGGTAATGCCAGTTTGGTTGTCTCATCTATAATTAAATCATCTCATTTCTAAATCATAGATGAGGGAGATCACAGATTTTATTACAGACCAACCTAGCACTTAGTAGCAGTAGCCGAAAGCCAAGGCCTCTGAAGATCTATAATTGAGAAGAAGCACTTCTCTTTAGAAAAGAGACAAACTAATTTGTAACTGTTTTTAAAAGTGCTTTTATTTTATATTACAAAATATAGTCAGCCTGCTTTTGAGTACATTGAGACTTGGGCAATTGGGGAAGTGGGGAAAGCTTAATTCTCTGATACTTTTCTTTCAAAATATAAAAGTACTGGATTTTTAAAAACAAGAGCAGGAGATCTTAATTTCCACTTGCATCATGATTTCCCAAAATAATTTAGCTGGACTTGCATGGAAAAACACCAGGTGACTTGACTTACTAGAGTTTTGGACCTTGATTTAACCTGATCCTCTGAACATGATATTTAGACCGTATTTTGGTCTCTGTGCAAATCCCACAAGGGACAAAGTTTGTATAGTTCACTCTCAATCCTTTTAAAGTTGGCACTGGGATATTAATCAGGATCAAAAGATCCAAGGGAGAGAATGAAGTAATCTGTAGTCACGACCAAAAGTTGGGCACACAATTCCTAAGGCACATAGGTGGAGAAAAGACACAGCTATAGTTCTAAAGAAAATTGGAAAACAGCTAGGCAACCCCAATATTTCAGCCAAGAATGGACCAAGGATGTGTTCATCTTCCTAGTTTATCAAACTAGGTTGTGTCTCTAAGACAAGGAGAAAAATCCAACAAATCAGTTCAGGATGAAGAGTAAAGTTCCCTCTGCATGGCTGAGCATAGGATGTGAAGGATCAAGATTTGCCCCAACCTCTGCAGAATATTCTTATCTTCCTTTGCATCAAACACAAAATAGTTTGGGTGGGGAGGAGCCTATTTTTTTAAAGTGACATGGCACAAGCTATGATAGGTTGAGGAAGGTGCTGAAGCAGGATTTGGGAGAGAACTAGCGGGGGGGGGGGAAGTGCCATGATCAGTAAAGGAAAACTATAATTGCTCGTGGTGTTGCTTTGTTGTGCCTTTACAACAACAACAAAAAGGGTTCTTTCTTTGAGGATTCTTTCATGGAAGTGACTGATCACCATTTCTGAGTCAGGACTGCAGTATCCATTGAGGAAAACCTTACAAAAATAATCCACAAAGGTCAAAATCAAAGCAGCAGAGACAGTCTTCTAGATTATGACCATTATAGGCACCTGGGACATGGTTTTGAACGTAGGGAAGGTTTCTAGGCATAGGCAGCATGTGCTTCCAGGAATGGAAGAGCTGGAGGAGCCCCGCCAGTCATCTGTAGTGCAAAGGCCTCCCCAGTGAAAGGAGAACAGTTCCAGGATAGAGATGCAGCCCGAGGGAACTACTAAAAAGAGAAGAAAAACAATTCCAGAGTGTCACTATTTCCATTCTGAACCCAACTGAAAAGCTCTAATCTATGACCTGTGGACTTCAACTTTCAGAATTCCTGAGCCACCATGGAATTCTGGGAGATGAAGTCCACAGGTTGTAAAGGAGCCATAGTTGCCCACCCTGATCTAATATACTAGCCATCCCGTAGCCTTCCCAGTTGCCTAATGTGAACAATAAGCCTTTCCAAGGATTTCACCTCCTTCCAAGAGACATGGGACACTAAGGAAGCATCTCTATCTCTGTGAAATGCTGAAAAGATCTGCATCCGTGAATTGTCAGAGAAAGAGCACATGGGAGCAATGTGTCTAGTTAAATGGCTACCACCATTTTCTTTTGCTCATATATTTCATATATTTTATAATTTAAGTACAAGTTTAATACATTATAATATAAAGCACTTTTAGGGATGCATCTTGTCACCAGATCTCTGTTCAAGCCTGCTTAGTGAGCCGACCAAGTTTAACCCAGCCCAAGTTTAACCTTGGGTTTTCATCTCCTTGTACGTACCATCAGTCTTTGATCATGCAGCATGAAGGGAGACCCAAGGGGGTGGGGAAGTCCTTCTAAAGTGTAATGGCCAGGATGATGATGATAATAATGATGAATACTGTGATGGTCAAGCAGATGCCAATCATGAACTTCTTCTGCAGAGCCCCAAAGGCAAAAGAGAGAAGGCAGAAAGATGTGAAGAAATATAGATGGGGAAGCATCTTCATTCCTGTTACATTGATTCTTTCTCTGCTAGCTTCAGGGAATAAAAAAGGAACTTCCTCACATATAGCCTACTTGTTCAACGCACTTTTAATCTCCATGAGACTTTATGGGGCTTAAAATCGTGTGCTACTAGCTATTTTGGACTGCATGGACTCAAAATATTGTCCCGCCCTGCAGCCCCCCCGAATTCAAAGCAGAAACTCCCAGGAGAGTTAATCCTTGTAAGATACAGCAGAAGGGTATTTCATTTTATATCGTGTTTCTTGAAAATAAGAACCAGACTTATGTTTTTTTGGGCTCCAAAATAAGCACTAGGGCTTATTTTTGGGGAAATGCGATTTCAGGGTGATCAGCCCGGTTGAAAGCCCCACTCCTGGCGTATGCACTAGAGGTGGCAAGCATGTGGGGACTGACGGTATCCAGCAACAGGTATAGACCGCCGGTCCCATGGTTGTCGCACCCTGGAGCTGCGTAGCCCACGTGGCACAGGTGAGTTGATATCCTGTCCAAGAAGTAGATGGAGGCAGATGTCCTGGGTGGGGGTGGGAAATGGCAATTTGGATAGTCACAGACAAGCCGAGAAATGTGAAGACAAGACTCCCATGGCCGGCTGCCCACTCCAGCCCACTGACTCTTGGCTTTCCTGCGGCGCATGTGGATCACCTGCCTTCCTTCTGCGCCTGCTGCCAGTGCCGCCACGCAAAGACAAGTCTCCTGCATCCAGCCACCACTCCAGCCTTTCCGCTTTTCTGCGACCTCTGCGGTGAGTTCAGATTGTGTGTCCCTACTGCTTGGACAAGTAATCAACTTACCTGCGCTGGGTGGGCTGCTGCTGGACACTGTTGGCCCACATGTGCTCGCTGCCTATGCTGGCCACGCCCACACCTCTTCACTAGGGCTTATTTTTGGGGTAGGGCCCATATTAGGTGCATGCGTAATAATCAGGCTAGGTCTTATTTTGGGGGTAGGTCTTATTTTTGGGGAAACATGGTAGAATGTGAGTACTGAATCCAGGTAATCCTCGATTTACAACAGTACTTTTAGTGCCCATTCAAAGTTACAACTCCAGGGGACTTGTGAAAAGGGGACTTACGACCCTTTTTCACACTTAAGACCATTGCAGCATCCCCAGGGTCACATGATCAAAATTCAAATGCTTGGCAAATGATGCCTATTTATGACAGTCACCATGTCACGGGGTGTCACATGATCCCCTTTGCTTCTGACAAGTAAAGTAGACGGGGAAAACCAGATTCACTTGATAACATGTTACTAATTTAACCAACTGCAGTGGTTCATTTAACAACTGTTCCACTTAGCAACCAAGATTTTGGGCTCCACTATGGTGGTGAGGGTTGCAGATGGGGCGGTTTACCTTAAGAGCTTTCTTCTGACTCTCCTGGGCTTGATGAAGGTGCAGTTGCCCTTTCTTGACGTAGTCCCCGGAGTCTAGAATGTTCTTCTCTATCCGGTCAATCATGTCTCCCTGAATGGAATCAAAAGGGGATGTTTTGATAAGGAGCTTTCGGGCGAAGATAATCAGTTCTTGTGAGGGCAGAACAGAAAAAGCAGTGAGACTAAGAGGTTCTACTGCAGGATTATGGGACAACTAGTAGCAAAGTGAAAACAAAGCAAACAAATGGCAGTTCAAAACTGTTCAAATGTAGCGGCTCAACTTTTGCATCATTAATAGTGGTAGCTCTTAGACTTATATACTGCTTCACAGAGCTTTACAGCCCTCTCTAAGCAGTTTACAGAGTCAGCATATTGCCCCCAACAATCTGGGTCCTCATTTTACCCATCTCAGAAGGATGGAAGGCTGAGTCAACCTTGAGCCTGGTGAGGATCGAACTCCTTGCAGTGGGCAGAGTTAGCTATAACAATAGCATTTAGACTCATATACTGCTTCACAGTGCTTTACAGCCCACCTTAAGCAGTTTACAGAGACAGCATATTGCCTCCAACAATTTGGGTCCTCCAACAATCTTCCGACCTCAGAAGGATGAAATGCTGAGTCAACTTTGAGCCTGGTGAGGATCAAACTGTCAAACTGCAGGCAGCCGGCAATCAGCAGAAGTAGCCTGCAGTACTGCATTCTGACCACTGTGCCACCACAGTTCTTGGTGAGTAAAACCTCCTAGAAAGGCCATACAGGAAATCTACTTGACAACAGTACTGATAGGAAGGAGACTGGAAGCTTGTAGAGTTAGAACAGGTAAAAAAGGGAAATAAGAGGACTGCACAAAGATTCCTCTCTCTCTTTGGGGAAGTATTGCCTATCTTTTCATGTAAGAAATCCGAAGGTCAGTGGTTAACATCTCCAAAGAAGCTGGGAAAAATCTTTGACACCATAAAAAGCTACAGCTGGTCAGTGTAAACCCTATTAAGGTAATCGGGCTGATGGTCTGATTCAACAAAATCTGACCAAAGCACAATCCCCCTTGCTTTCCTCTCTTTCCACTTCATACTTGCAGCTCCACTTCTGTAGCCAGGAACATAAACAGGTCATGTAGCTCCTGGATACTGCGCTCCAATTTCAGGATTTCACTGTGTCTGGTTTCGATCTCATTGAGAGCCTGCTTTGTCACTTGTGTGTCCTTCATGAGCTGCACGAAAAAGGTGAAGTAGATGAATCCCTTTGTTTAGAGCCTTTTCCTCCTTTCAAAGGCCCTAATATTCCGATACTCACATTTGAAATAAATACTTCTGTCTGACCGCTCTCCAGCATCTCATCCAGCTCGTCATCAGATACCACTGTGCTACCAGCTGGGAGGAATAAAAATACAGTGTTAATATCAGTAAGCAAGAGGTTTTTTTCACTCTTCCATCAGAAAAGAGAAATGAAGTTCAAAGTATCTTTTTCTGAGCATTCTGACACTTGTTTTGCCCTGTGAACAGAATCCAAAAATTTAAGGGCTCTATCTGAAGCATAAGACCTAAAAGTCAAGGGGTGCACTGGAATTCTGAAATTAACTGCTCTGTGCTGGCACCACAATGCCCTCTCATGGCAAATTGCATAGCTGAAAGGCAGAGAACCGGATAAAGTTAGGTTTAAAAATCCTCTCTATTTCACAGCTGGGTGATATCATCAGACAGCTTTTTGCCTTCTTTCCATTTGCTACAGATGCTGAAATGACTGTGATTGTGATTGTACTAGTAGTTGTTTCAACTTTTGATGCTAGGAGTTGGTCAATACATCTTGAAGTTGCCACGGTTAAGAAACAGTGCTTTAAAGGATGGCATTATCCCTCAGATACTACCTTTCTGAGGGATAATGACTTGGTTAATATATAAATAGCACACATTTCTGAAGGGCTTTATAAAACTGAACATTCAGAGGTGAAACATAAAAGGTAACCCTGTAAACTCTAGTAAACCTCTTTCAGGAAGAACGTATCAAACTTTTTGAGAAGGGACAGGCATTTAATTGTGATCTCTCTCTTTTATCCCTTACATTGGATAAGTATCTACTTTTCTCCTCAAAAGAGAAACAGAGTTTTTGGTTTTCAAGAAATCATGGGCTTCCAAGGGCTACAAATAGGAGACTAATGGCACATGCAACTTTGGGGCTGCAGGATTTCTAGAAAAGATTTTGTCCGGGATGCTTTAAGGATTTTTGCCTTGGGCAGGGGGTTGGATTAGAAGACCTCCAAGTCCCTTCTAGTCTTATGATTCTAGGTTGTCTTCCCTGTTCGTTTGTTTTTTAAAAACCAAGGAAAGAGGATCCCAGGTACTGAATTATAAAACAGGCATTTACCCTTTTCTTATGGGTCTGATGCCTTCCACCTTGCTGGAGAAAACACTAGGAGGTACGCTCTCCCATTTTTGTTAGGCCGATACCTGAAATCAGCCACAAAGAAGTAGCAGTGTATCAATCTTCTTCCTCCTAAAGGTTACTGATGAATGTGACATTTTTACAAATGGAAATCTGCCAATGCTAGGTTTGAGTTTCAAAGAGCAAGATGCCCAGTTGTTGTTGTTGTTGCTGTTCTGTGCATGCTCTGGCCTATCTTGTCTTTTACCATACCCAGGTCTACAAAGAACATATCAGATGCATACACTGAATTTAAACCTTGGGCCAACTTTAGGAGGTTGGAAAATTATGTGATATTCAACTGTGGAGTTCACATTTCTTTTCACACATGTACATCCATACAATTGTATTGGTGGGGATTTCACAGCAAATCACAAAATGGAAAAGGCTGGCAGTGGAATGCTTCATTTTCCTTCCAGAAAGTTCTCTTAATTTCTCAGAATATATCAATCAGGCATTCTGGGAAGTCTTTGTGCTGTTTCAGAAGTATGACTCACCAATTGTTTTGGCAAATGTACTTCAAAGAATTGCTCATGAAATGCCTGATCAGCTCACCTGGTAGATAAATCTAATATTGGGGGAGGGGGGGTGTTAAATAAACTCTGGCCATCCCATTTTATATATTCAGAAAATGTAACTGGATAAGTCTCAGAGTTACATTATAGTATATTCCTGCGTCTTGGGCTATAGGGCCATCCATTTTTAAAAAGCCACTCTAACCTTCTTTTTGAAGAAGAAAAATCTGCATTTAAAAGACATTATGCACATTACATTTGAATACTAGTTTGTTCTGCATTATTTTTCTATTTCTATATTCACTGACAGAACTAAGAGTTAAAAAAAACTTTTTTCAGTTAAATTAAGGGACATTCTATTCATGGAATAGAACACAAGATCTCTGCTTTTTTCTGCTATCTCTTTAAAGAGAAAAAGTATAGAAAATAGGATATCACATTTGGACATTCTCCCTTATTTATTTAATGTATTTTTTCATACTGCTTCCTACGCTAAAGCATCTGGAAGCAGTTTACAATTAAAGTAGTGACTTCTGGAAGACAAAATGGTGGACTGAAGATGGCTCTGTGAAAAATAGAACTGACAATTGTGACAAACAATGAAGCATTGGCTTTTTTAATCTCTCCAGACATAGAAAGGACAGGTGATTCCCACAAGTGCTCCAGACAGTTGCTCCTTGAGAGGAGACTTCAAAATAAGTGTCTCAGGTGGATTTTGAGTACTGGGAGGTGAGGTTGACATTTTGCTCAAACTGTATGTTTTAAAATGATACTAAATTCACATACTTCTTTTTCTAATTGGAGACTTGTGTATTAATTACTATTAGAATCTTTGGATTGATAAATCTAAAAATAGTGGGTGAGTCTGCCTTCAATTGTAAATGAAATAAAAATTTAACTACAAGCTTAAGGAATTTGAAATAAACAGCAAAAATCTGGTTTTAGAAAGGATCCAGATAAATTGGAAATATTTTGCAATTAAAAAGAATTTTTCCCATAAGAAAAATCAACTTGTTTTGAACATAAAGAGATAAAAAAGATTTTAAAAATTGGACTATAAAGGTTTAATTAAAGGAGAAAATACATAAACCTGATTTAACAATTACAGAATGATGCAAAACATTTTAACACTGGAAATACTGTGGATGCTTTTGAAAAACGAAATCAGAAATTAATATCAACAATTTTGATAGTGATGTTTACGTCTATAGATAGGCTATGTCCCAAAAAATGTTTTGGAAGAAATGACAGAAGAGAAACAAGTTTTATCTGACAAGACAGAGACACTGAGACACTGGGACTTCCGGTTTCCTTGTCTTCGGCGGTGGCGGTGCCTTTTGAAGCTCCGCCAGCCCCGCCGCTTGTAGAGCCGCTTCGCGACTAAGAAGCGGCTCGAAAACTTCAAAATCCTTAGGATTTTTGAAGAGAGATCGCAGGGCACAGGTTGAGCCCCTGCAACCCCCCCCCCAGGGAATAGTTTCTGGGGAGGGAACAGGAGCGGCTCCCGTTTAACCTGCTGGAACTCCGGGCGGCGTGGGACAAGTCTGCTTTTGCAGAACAAGCCGGCTACAGGAAACTTCAAACTGAAAGGAAAGGAATCAGCCTTAATAAGCAGCATATTTTCACTTGAACCCTGAAACTTGGAATCGCAAGTATTAGAGTTTTCTTGGCTTTCTAATCTGAGTGAAAAAATGCGGATGAGTGAAAGTGAACTGTAAAAACATGGCGCTTAGCCTCAGAGTTAACGAGCTGGCGAGTGTGGATTGCTGAACTCATCTTGCTTTGTCACAAAGTTTCTAAACTGTTACGAAGTTGCTTTGCTTGTAACAAGAGAAATAAGAGAGAAATTTCTCCTTTTTCAATATTGGACTTTGCTTTACTTTAGTTCTTATTTGATTAAATCTGGGGGACTTTTTCAGAAGTCTTTGTGGAGGTGGGAGAGGAAGAAGAACTTCCCTTTTTAGTAAAACCAGCCTACGTGGCAGGATGGCCTCAAAGAAGCAGGAAGCGAAGGCAACAGGAGGTGGATCTCCCACACATAAAACACAGCCTCCCCCTGCACAACAGACACAGATTCAGAAAAAAGATTTTGATGTGGGAGATTTAAAAGAATTTATTTCTAAAATTTTGGATGATAAATTTCTAAAATCTCAACAGGAGATAGATGACAAACTTCAAAAGTCACATCAGGAATTTATGCAGGAAATTAATGAAGTTAAAGATATGGTGAAACAGAATCAAAACAAGGTGACCAAAAAAATATCAGAAGTGGCGTCTGGCCTGGCAGAATTTATTATTAAAGTTGATTCTAAAGTTGAAGAATTTAAATCAGAAGTTAATGTTAAGATGAAAGATAATGATTATAAAATTGCTGATGTTGACAATAAAATGCAGAGAGTTGAAAACGAAATCGTGATGGTACAATTCAGGGCAATGGAGTTTGCAATACGGCTTCGAGGAATTCGAGAAGAGGATAGACAGGATTTGAGACAGGTTTGTTCTGAGGCTCTGGCTAAGATTTTAAAACTTAATCCTGAGGTGGTTTTTCACAAAATAGATAAAATTTACAGAGTGAATTCTTGGGTGGCCAGACAAAGACAATTGCCCAGAGATGTGGTCATATATTTTACAGACAGAGAAATAAGAAATGACATCCTGCAAAAATCCTTTTACACCTCTGTGCAAGTGGGGGGCGCACAAATTGGAGTCTTTAAAGAATTACCTCCTAAAATGTTGAAAACTAGAAAAGACTTTGGCTTTCTTGTTAAAGAATTGCAAAATCAACAGATACCATTTCAGTGGGACGCCCCAGTTGGTATAATTTTGAGATACAAGGGAGAAAGATATCGTTTGAATACCGTGGAGAAGGCAGAGCACTTCTACACTACTACTCTTAAGGAAAGAACACCATCCCCATGTACATCTACAGTTTTGGAGATTAAGGAGAGTGATGAGAAGCAACCTCAACGAGAATTGCAAGAACAGTCTAAGCAGGAACCAGAGGAAATGCAAGGCGCAGAAGGAGGTTTTCTGGATGAGCCTTTGCTGGAATCTTCTCCAATCTTGGACCCGGTTCGGATGATCGAAGTTAAGGATCAACGTATAACTCGAGCCCAATCTAAGTTACTTAAACAAAAGCAACAACAACAACAGGAAAGACAAGACAAGAAGGGAGCTAAGACTACTATACAAGAGACTGGAGCCATGGGGGGAGCGACTCCGAAGATTTTGGATGATATTCGGTTATTCTGCTCTTTGCTCCAGAAAGATGAAGATGACGCTTAAGTGTTTATCTTGGAATGTGAATGGGTTGAATTCAGTACAGAAAAGGAAGAAATTATTTACATATTTGAAACAATTTAATAATGATATAATTTGTCTACAAGAAACGCATATTACAGTTCAAGATCAAAAATACTTGATAAACTCCAAACTTGGAATACATTTTATATCTTCAACGTTGCAAAAAAAGAATGGTGTGGTTATCTATGTAAATAAGAAATTTACGGCTAAAGTTATAGAAACAGATGAAGATGGCAGGTTTGTAGCAATTGAATTACTTACAACATATGGGCAAATTCTTTTGATAGGAATTTATGCTCCCAACCAACAACAGGATTATTTTTATAAAATGTTACATACTAAAATACTACAATGGGACTATAGATCTATTTTAATCATGGGAGACTGGAATGGAGTAATAGACTCTAAATTAGACAAAAGGAGTTCAGCGAAATCTAGGATTAGGTTACCTCAGACCTTTTTTTGATATGAAAGAAGATTTGGAACTAAAAGATATTTGGAGAATACATAACCCAAAAGAACTGGACTATACTTTTTTTTCAGATAGACATAGATCCTTCTCTAGGATTGATTTCATTTTGTTGTCAGATGATTTACTTGTCAAGACAAAAAGAACAAAGATTTTTCCAAGAACTTTGACTGACCATAGCCCAGTATGGATAGAAATTGAGATGGATAAGATTGAGAGATGTTCTTGGAGATTAAATGAGAACTTGTTCAGATATGAAAAAAACACAATAGAACTTAAAAAGCACTTGAAAGAATTTTTTGAAATAAATTTGAATAAAGGTACCCCAATAGAAATTGTGTGGGATGCAAGTAAAGCTTATATGAGAGGGGTGCTTATCTACATGAACTCTAAACATAGACTGATTCGACAAAAGAAAAGATCTGAATTGGAAATAGAAATAAAGAATAAAGAACAGTTACTTATTAAAAATCCAACAGATGAAAGAATATGCGGTGCTATAAAACTTTTGAAAGATCAATTTCAAATGCTTATGGCGGAACAAGTTGCAACAAACATACAATATGCGAAGCACAATACATTTTGTAACGCTAATAAACCGGGCAGATGGTTGGCTTACACATTGAGGAAAAAACAGAGTATACGGACTATTGATAGTATTGATATTGGAGGGAAAGAAATTTTTCAACAAAAATTAATTAAAGAAGCTTTTGTGGACTATTATACCAAACTATACGCCAAAGAGGAGGTGCAGAACGGACTTATAGAAAAATATTTAAACGATAAAAGAGTTACAAAAATTACTGATCAACAAAAGGAAAGAATGGATTATCCTATAACAGAGGAGGAGATAATAGTAGCAATTAAACAGTTAAAAACAGCTAAAGCTCCTGGCACGGATGGTTTGACCGCAGTGTATTACAAAACTTTACAAGCTGAAATGGTGGAACAACTTAGAGATTTATTTTGCAATATTCAACAAGGGGGTAAAATACCCCCATCATGGACAACAGCTTACATATCTTTGATACCAAAAGAACAAATCGGTCCTAAAAAACCAGAGAACTATAGACCAATATCTCTTTTGAATACAGACTATAAAATCTATGCGAAAGTATTAGCCAACAGGTTGATGCCAGTAATTCAAAAGGTGATTCATGATGATCAAGCAGGATTTATCGAGGGCAGATACATGAAGGATAATGTAAGGCAAGTAATAGATTTATTGGAATATCTTGAGAAGAATAAACAGATTCCTGCAGTGCTGGTTTTTTTGGATGCAGAGAAGGCCTTTGATAGAGTGGATTGGAATTTTCTACTAAAGACTTTAAAAAAGATGGACTTTGGGGATCAATTTATACAGGCGATTTCAGCAATTTACCAAGAGCAAAAGGCATAGATCATTATTAATGGAAGTTTGACAACAGAGTTTAAAATTGAAAAAGGAACAAGACAGGGATGTCCGCTGGCCCCACTTTTATTTATTTTAACACTAGAAGTCTTGCTAAATACAATACGGGACTCTAATATCCTGAAAGGTATAATGATTAGGCAAGAGGATTACAGAATAAAGGCATTTGCAGATGATCTGGTTGTTACCCTATCACAGCCAATGGAATCAATAATCCTGATGAAGGACATTATACAAGACTATGGCAAAGTTTCAGGTTTTAGACTGAATTCAAAAAAGACTAAAATGATAGCTAAAAATATGACACAAGATCGCAAACATGAGCTTGAAAGGAGGGCAGGTTTTGAGATTGTACCAAAGGTAAAATATCTAGGAGTTCAGGTTGCAGAATCAAACATGAAATTGTTTCAAAATAATTATGAGGTGTTGTGGCGAGAGGTGCAGAAAGACATGGAGACTTGGAAAAAACTGCAGCTGTCTCTACTTGGAAGAATAGCAGCAGTTAAGATGAACATTTTGCCAAGATTTCTTTTTTTGTTTCAAATGATTCCGGTGCTTAAAAGTGATAAACAATTGAAGGTTTGGCAAACTGGAGTGAATAAGTTCGTCTGGAATGAGAAAAAGCCGAGAGTGAAATTGAAAATTATGCAAGATGTTCCAGAAAGAGGAGGTCTTAAACTTCCAAACCTACAGTTATATTATGATGCAGCAGCTTTAACTTTAACAAGTGATTGGTTTGGAAGGAAAAAGGCTGGAATATTGAATGCAGAAAGTTTTGATCTTGAATTTGGATGGCATGCCTACTTATTTTATGATGACAAAGTTGATAAAGTATTTAAAAGCCATATACTTAGAGACTCTTTGATGAGAGTTTGGAAGAAGCACCGATTCAAATGGGATTATAAAATACCGCTATGGCTGGATCTTGGTCATATTTTGTGGAATACAAATATAATGTCACTCGGGGGGTTTTTATACAAAGAGGTTCTTTTTACAGATGCGGGCAGATGGCAGCTGAAGACATTGCAGACACTGTTGGACGAAGGGATTAATCTAACTTGGTTACAATATAATCAATTACAATTGAGATGGAAAGAGGACCAAAAAACTGGTATTATGTTGCACGAGGAAGAATTGGTTAGACATATAAAAGAGAAAGGTCCAATGCATATCAAAAGGCTTTATAATGTTTTGTTAGAAAGGGATTCAGAAACTGAATTAGTTAAAGATTGTATGATTAAGTGGGCACAAAATTTTGAAGAACCAGTGATGTTGGAAACATGGGAAAAAAATTGGGTTCAGAACGTTAAATTTACACAGTCGCAGAATTTGAGGGAAAATTTTTATAAAATGTTTTATAGATGGCATTTAGATCCCAAAAAGTTGTCATGTATGTACCCTAATGTTCAGCCAAAATGTTGGAGATGTGAATGTTTGGATGCTACGTATTATCATGTATGGTGGACCTGTAGGAAAGTTAAGGCTTTTTGGATAAAAATTTGGTGGGTCATGCAGAATGTTTTGAAGAAAAAAATTCAATTCTCTCCACAATTTTTTTTATTGGGTATAGTTAAGGGTTTTACATTGGGTGAAACAAAACTGATATTGTATATGATAACAGCAGCAAGATTGTTGATAGGTAAATACTGGAAAAATGAAGCTCTGCCCACTATTGAGGAATGGACTCTGAAGATGGCCAGTTTTGCAGAGATGGCGAAGATTTCAGCATAATTAAAAGATTGTTCACAAGAGACTTATGAATGGGAATGGAAAAAGTGGATAGAATATGTTCAGAACAAATATCAAACTAGAAAGTATCAAATAGCTTTTATTTGAAAATAATGTATTAGAAATATTTTAATGTAATGAGGGTAAAAAGAAAAATTATAAAGGGGAGGGAGGGGTTCAAGTTTTTACACAAGTTTTATATTAAGGGTTTTTTTATTTTTTTTACCAGATATGAGTATAATAAGGGAAGTCTGGGGGGAGGGGAGGGTTAGGGAGGGTTAGGGAGGTTGGGAAGTTTGGGGTGGGTGGTGGGGGGGGGAAAGGGGTGAAAATGTAATTGTAAAACTTTTGCAATAAAAAAAAAAAGACAGAGACACTGAAAGTGAATCTACAAATGACAGGCTACAAAAATGACATAGAAAAGATGTTTAATTGGATATAAAAATGTAATCCATTGATGTTTTAAAAGTCAAAAGAGAATTATTAATTAATAAATGAAGAAAGTAATCTGGATAATTGTATCATATTAGATTTACAAAAAAGGTTAGTTAAAGCTTGGATGAATCTTGTGGGAAGGAATAAAAAAGAAATAAGTAGTTCTACAAGAGTACTTGAGTGGATTAAAATTAAGACTGTTAGAAGTAAAAGAAAGGAACATGAAGTTTGTTTATTTGATCAAGATAAAAACAGGTATGTTATTTCTGGCAACTTACAGGACAAAGAGATCATTGGTTGAAAGCAAGAGGTAAAAAATTACTAAAATTGTTTATATTTGTTGTGATAAAGGTTGAAAGTCACTTTTTTTTCTTTATTCTTTTCTTTTACATATTTTCTTTTCCTTGGCACTTTTCACTCTCTACTTTTTTGCTTTCTTCCAGTTTGTATTAGTTTTTATTGTTGCAATTATAATCTTTAATAAAATTACTTTAAAAAATACAATAAAAGCAGCAATAAAAGGAATTTAATGATAAATAATATTTTAAAGTAATGTATTCTTTATAAAACTTTAAAAGTTGCTATAGCAGGTGTCTCTCAAATGTCCAGAGGGAGAACATTCTAGACTGGAGACACAATCATTAAGAAGGCCCATTTGTGAGCAGTTGCCAGACTTCGCAATAAATGCATGATAATCTCAGTGACTGAACAGATCTATAACTGAGATTCTCTAACAGGTATCTTTGTCCCAAATAAATAAATTTTGAATTTGGCCCAATAGCTAACTGGCCACTACCTAGGACTTTCCTTAGCCATAAAATATTCAAATAACCTTGGTTGTCTCAATCTTTCTACAGCAGGCACATGGTTTGGGGCAATTCTACAAGATGATTTGACATTAAAATGCAGCATTTTCTGTGCCTAACAAAGGCAAATACTCACTAATCTGTAGGTGTCGTTTGATGCGCTCCAGATTTCGGTCTCGATAGTCAGACTGTACAGAGTTGCATTTATTGATGAGATCCATGAATTGTTGGGAAAGGATTCCATGCTGAAACAGAAATATATATAATGAATTATGCAGACCCTTTTTGCCTCCTCACCTTGCTTCCCCATCAAGGCAACCAAGTGCTTTGTTTTTCACCTGATTTCTCTTCATTCGGTTGTTGAACGAATTTCTGTTCTCATCTTGTTCCTCCTTCGTGGGCTCAATTCCTACATAATCAAGAAGTAGCTATTATGAGATTGTAATGCTTATTTCAAGAAAGAGAGCTCTGGGGACTAAAATATGATATATTTTCAGAACACTAGATATTAATTCCTAAACTGAAGAGTCAAGATACATCCTCTTTGTTTTCCTCATAAGTTGTGCGCACACTCACTCTTCAGCTGGGCTCTGGTGTCTTTTGCCAACTCCTTGATCTCCTCACGCAGCTTTTGTAGGCCTTGCTTTGTATCTAGAAAACACATTGAAAACGCAAAAACGGTATTAATTTTCATATCTGATTCTTGCAAGCATTGTGACTGAGCTACACTGAGCCCCCCTCCCATCTTTCCTCTGGGAAACCACCTGTAAATGATGGGAACAAATTTAGTCCTCATTTAGTGACAGCATTAGGGTCCATCAACCCAGTTAAGTAAAGCAGTCACAAAGTGAAAAATCATGTGATCGTGATTGTTTATAATTCATGATTTTACATAAGGACACCCCTAGAGAGGTGTAAAGGCTGCAAATGCGGGCATTAGTCACAGTTACTTTTCATTGTAACTAGGAATGAGGCCGTTATTAAGGAAGGACTGCCATGGTGGCGCAGTGGTTAGAATGCAGTATTGCAGGCTAATTCTGCCAACTGCCAGCAGTTCGATCCTCACTGGCTCAAGGCTGACTCGGCCTTCCATCTTTCTGAGGTTGGTAAAATGAGGAGCCAGACTGTTGGGGGTGATAGGCTGACTCTTTAAACTGCTTAGAGAGAGGGCTATAAAGCAGTATACAACTGCTATTGCTACCTGCAATCCATTGTAAGTCACACCACTTCTTCCTGAACAATTCTGCAAAACTACCTCTTTATGCCTTTGCTGAAAGTCTGATTTGTAACTGCTCATTTTCTTCTGTATAGGTAGCCTTTGCTTAGTAACCACAATCGCTACTGGCAGTTCTGTTGCTAAGTGCCGCAATTGCCTAAGCAAAATATCACGTGATCACAGTTTACAATTTTATTTCTGCCTTCTCTATTAGCACAGCTTGTGGCAATCCAGTTCTGAAATGCCCGAATGGTGATCACCTGATTATGATGGCCATAAATGCCTCGATTGATTGCAAAACATTTTTATGCTGTCATAACTTTAAATGGTCATAAGGCAAGGCAGTCAGAAAGTGAGGACTACCTGTACTTTAGTTATTTCTCTTCAGTAGTCTCTCTCTTTCTCCAAACCTTAGTTCTTATATCTCTACTACGAATTCTACTGCCAAAATAATTCTTCTGACTCTACCCACAGCACAAATTCCTTGCCCTTATTTTTAAAGTAAGTGCAAATCATTTTCTTTCAGTTCTTGTTACATTTAAAATAGGCTGGTTTCTATTCTTGATTCCTACACTCAACTGACCAATGGTCTCTTGCTTTCTTGATCAATATTGACTAATCTTCCTTGCTGCCTCATTTGTGTAAGTCTCCTGCTTGAAGCATGTTTCCTTTTCCCACTAATTTCTTCTCAAGGATGGTATTTTCTGTCATCTTCACCATGTCATCTTAATTAAGCTTCAGTTCTAATTTAACAAAGCTTTAAAAGAAGGACTGTAGCATTTTGCCATTAGTTTTCTGTTTGTAATTTTGGAACACGCAACTTTGTAAGTAACAGCCTGCAAGATGCCATAAAGATTTAAGCCACAAGATATATATTGGCAGATTGAAACTTGATCGTTGGAAACCTACTGTCATCAGGGATTGGTGAAGCCAGGACTGTAGTCTGATTTTTCTCTAGGTCCTTCACTTTGCATTCCAGTACCTTCAAGGCTTCACGGATGTCACGTGTCTATAAAGGGGATAAATGATATAATGAGAAGGTCAGTAGCAATTATTGAATCCTGATCTTATCTCAGGAAGCTCAGAAACACTGATAATTGTTCTAGATCAGAGGTTCTCAACCTGTGGTCCGTGGACACATGGAGGGGCTGTGCTATCATCACAGGGGGTCTGTGAAGGCTTGAAGAAATTATATGATTTAAATCTTAAGTCTTGGGGGTCCGTGGCCACAAAAGATATTTAAAAGGGACCCATGGTGAAATTATTATTATTATTTATTATTATACTTATATGCCGCCCTTCTTCCGAGAAGGTTGAGAACCATTGTTCTAGGTTCTATAGGTTGTTTCTAAAAATCGTTTCAGAAGAATAAAATAATTATAAGTAGTCCTCACTTAATAACTGCCCTTTTTAATTCAAAGTTACTGTAGCGCTGAAAAATTAGCTTTACAACCTGTTGTCCCTTATAGCCACTGCAGCATCCCTGCAATCATTTGCCCACTTCATAGCCAAGCAGAGTCAATGGAGAAAGTGAAGAGAGATTGCAAGTTGCAAACACATGTCTTGTTTAATGACTGTATTACTTAGTGACAGAATTGCCAGTCCCATTTATGATAGTTAAGTGAGGTGTACCAGGTAACAAAGTGGGCAGTAGCATGTTTTTATACACTGCTGGTTTTACTTCTTTCAACAAGATTAATACATTACACCATACAGGTAGTCCTCGACTTACAACAGTTCGCTTAGTGACTGCTTGGAGTTATAATGGAACTGAAAAAAGTGATATGACCATTTTTCATATTTACAACCGTTGCAGCATTCCCATGGTCAAAATTCAGATTCTTGGCAACGACTCATATCAATGACAGTTGCAGTGTCCTTGGATCACACGATCACCTTTTGCGACCTTCTGACAAGCAAAGTCAGTGGGGAAGTTGGATTCACTTGACAACTGTGTGACTAACTTAGCTACTTCAGTGATTCTCTTAACAACTGTGACAAGAAAGGTTGTAAAATAGGGCAAAACTCAATTACAGTAGTGGCCAAAATTATGGAAACCTTTTGGGAAAAGTGTATTTTTGAGGTTTGATGGCTAATAATACCACTTTTTTTGGAATTTCAAGATAATCATATTCCACTGCTGGAATGGCCTGGGAGTAGCCCAGACCTTAACCCAATTGAAAATCAGTAATAGTAACGGAGTTGGAAGGGACCTTGGAGGTCATCTAGTCCAACCCCCTACTCACGCAAGAGACCTGTACTAGAGATTCAAACCGCTGAACTGCCGACCTTTCTGATCGATAAGCTCAGTGTCTTAGCCACTGAGCCACCTAAATCAGGCTATGGAGCTGACTAAAGAAACTTGTTAGTCAGAAGCGACCCGGCAATAAAACCCAGTTAATAGAAGCAATGATTCAATCTTGGTTTCACATTATAACAGCTGCAGAACTAAAAGACTTGGTTTACTCCATGGAAAGATGTTGTAAGGCCATAATTCATGCTAAAAGTTACCCAACTATTAACTGACATGGTAATAATTTTTATTTTCTTTCCATTGATACATAATTTTATGGTACTACTTTTTTGAAGTAGTATTATTAGCTAGTTTTAGAAAATACACTTTTCCCAAAAGGTTTCCACAATTTTGGCCACTACTGTAACAACTGTCTTGCATTGCAACAGAAATTTTGGGCTCAATTGTGGTTGTAAGTCGAGGACTACCTGTACCATTTTCAATTTCTGACCATTTTTTGCATTTCTTACGTTTTCTCTGCCCATTTTAGTAGGCATTTTATTAAGATATAGTATACATTCATCTACTGCAGTTTTCCCTTCTTATAAATAACCCACAAATGCTTACTTCATTTCCTGTTAAATAAAACTTCCATCTTTAATGCATTAGCTTTCAGATCCATTCTTTCCTTATACAGTCTAACATTTGCTGCAAATCATCTGAATTCTCATTTAACACCACAGCATCGTCTGCATACAAAAGTACATGAGCATGTTCTCATTCCCAACCAGCATATTTTTATTGACAGTATAGGTACTACACTCCTTATACAATTACTCATAAACAGATTAAATAACCAGAAGGATTTCTTAAACACCCCCCCCCCATATAAAAACACTTAATATTAAGCATTCAGTTTTTCTCACACATGCTGTATATCACTCTAGCTGTATTTGGCAAATACCTTTCATGCAAACTGCAACTCCATATTCAAGAACGGGACAACTCGGCCCTGGCTGACTAGCTGTGGGACAACTCACTGTGGGAAAACTTGTTGTAGGACGACTCAACGCGGGATAACTCAAGAGAGAGATAAGAGGAACAAGTGATTACATATTCTGGTTCATCCCAGCCTTGAGGATGTCTGACTTGAAAAGGTTCAAATCTAAAGCAAGACCAGGTCCCACTGTCCCTCTCTTGAATTATCCCACGTTGAATTTCCTGAAACAAACAAAATGTTAAAAAGTGATGAAATTTATGTAGTTACTTACCAAGCACATCTAAATTATATTAAAGTAACCAAAATGTTTTTACAATCCCCAAGGCATGTCACAACTTTGGAGCACCCCTAATGTTTGGAAACTGAAAGCTGAAAAATTTGATATGCCCTACTTGCCACGAGTAGACCGCAGCGACTGTGCTAGATTCATTCAAGCAAAATATTCCATTATGCAAGTTATTTACTTTATGATAAGATTTTTCTCTAAATCTACATAATTTTTTCCTATTCACATGCTCTTCAATGCCTTGCTGAAAATCATAAAACTGATCTACATACTCCCAGCAATCAAAGCACTTTGCTCACATATCTTTTCTATCAAAATTCTGCTAAACATCTTCCCAAGCACAACTAATTCTGCTGCGGGGAGGGGTATTGCATTTACACAATTGAGTTTTTCTCTAGGTATAGAAAAATAACAGCATTTTCTTAACAGCCAGATTTGAATACAAAATATTAAATATTTTGAATGGTCATATTTTAATTTTTTCCAGGAACACCATCTTAATTGGCAGCTTCACTACTTTTCTACATTCTCAAAGGATTTACAGCTTTCTTCTCACCTTTTTTCTTGGGCATTAACTTTAAAAGCATTTAACTCCACTCTTCAACGTATCATTTCCACACAAATCTATAAAACGCTCCTTCAAGCATTTTCTTATTTCACCTGCATTTCCCATGATTTTATTTCTTGTTCATGCATATACAAAAACAGATCTACTCTTAAATAACATAATCAAAATACAGATCTTTTCCTAAGCAGATATTCCCCAAGATATTCTTGGGTCTTTGAATGGTCCAGTCATTTTTGGGGGGTGGGGTGGGATGAAGGTACCATTGTACCTTGTTCAAATGTTGGCAATTATTCCCCCAAATTCATTCCGGATTCTTTTTGTTATCACCATTCTATGGACTGTAGCATGCAAGCTATTTTCATATCTACTCATGGCAATCCAGTGATACCAATACATAATTGCTAACATACATTTTAACTCTGTCATGCATAATTAAACCCACTCCTTTACTTTCATGCATATATTTATCACCATGGCTCTTTAAGATCACACCCAAAATTCATTCAACTCTACTGAATTCTTTCCTCTTCTCTTCATTTCATGAACAGCATAACTACTTTAGTTTTGGAACATCTGGACAGATATGCTATCAGTGGCAACTAAAGTCACTATTCTATATAAGATTTATCTATCCTAGAGACTATCTTGCAAGTCAACAAAGTATTGCCTTCACCCCACCAGTTAGGAGAATGATGCAGTGTACCAATAGATTCAAGATACTAGTGGACACTGTTCAAAAGAGTTTTAGAAATTTTCCAAGTAATTGGTATTCAAAAGGAATTATAAAAAGAAAATGCAGCTATTACTGTAATCCATATCTTTATGATCCCATCAATAGTTATGAGACCTACATCAGGTATGGCTTTGAAAGTACCATTTTCTTTCCTATCCTCCCAATGTATTAGAACAGCAAAACAGTTATTTTTTGCAACCCTGGAGATATCAAGCAATCAATATGTGTTGTGGCCAAAACCTGGCTCACCAAAGCAACCAAACTGCTTTGAAGGTATAACATAAAAAGATTAAGCATACAAATAACCACAGTATACAACAGGCTTCCAGCAAACCACTTGTTGTTTGCTGAGCTGCTCTGAGCAAAAGCAGAACTGCAGCTGATACGTCTTTGGTCTTTTACACTTCAAAGAACAGATAAAGAAAGAGGAAAACATAGTGTTAATTACACCATGGGATTGGAATGTTTTTCAATAAACACATCTTGATGCTCTTCTCATTACTGATCCTTTCCTAATAGGCCAGCATGCTAGCTGTACTACCGTGTTTTCCCGAAAATAAGACCCTGTCCTATATTTTTTGAACCCTAAAATAAACGCTTGGCCTTACTTTCAGGGAGGTCTTATTACTTTGGGGCGCATGGAACAAGATGGGGTTCCTCTTGCTGTTTTACCTTATTTCCAGCTCTCCATTTAAATATTTTCGGGAAGGGCTTATTTTTTGGGGGAGGCTTATTTTAGTGCATGTGCTCAAAAGCCTGATTGGGCTTATTATCAGGGATGCCTTATTTTCGGGGAAACAGGGTATCTTTGAGATACAGCCAGTGAGTATAAATAATCTGAGTTATTTGGGCTACTGGTTCCTGTCTGATTCTCCCCGTTGCCATCCAGGATCAATTCAGTTTGCTGTGAATGTTTCACTGCCAGGGGACTTTATGCAGTTCACATGTAGGAGTGGGGGAGGTATCTTATACCCTTAACAGGGAACGCAATTGTCATATTTAAGTGGGTACTTTTAATCACTACAAGAAGAGAAATCAGATATGGAGAGTTTTTACAGAAGACAGAAAAAAATCCTTCAGATTTTTCAGAGAGAGAGAGAGAGAGAGAGAACAAAAAAAGGTGGATTATCAACCCCCAAGTGCTGGTAAAGAAGATCATGATACCATTTGGAAGAATCCATCAGTAGGGTCAGGGAAGTTACTGTGTTTTGCTAATCCATGTTGTGTGACAAGAGCCACACGTTCAACATCTTCATTGTCTGACTCATCATCTTTCTGTGGAAAAAAAAGAAAAGAAAATAAGGTACAGTATGTCTCAGAAAGCACATATACCTCATGCGTGACAGGTATATGTGACCACAGGGACACTGCAACACAAGTGCAAGAAACATATGTCACCCTTTTCAGTGCTGTTGAAATGTTGACTGGTCATGAAACAAATAGTTGTAAATTGAGGATTACCTGTAGTTGAATGCTACATTATCTGGATTGCCAATGGATGCAGAAAATGTAGTTTTTCCAATCGTGTAGTGTCCATCTAGATTTCTGCAGTCCAAATAGTGTAGCCCAGCCCCAGGCACTATTTGCTTAATCTTTAATTTAGAATTCACTTGTGATGACTGAAATGAAACTAGGTTTATCTCTTCCTGGTTGTATAAGACATGGCTATAATTTGCAAGGTTCGTGCAAGCTTTTGTGTGTGGATTCAGAGTTTAATGCTACTGCTTAACTACACAAGTCCATCTTGCTAACCAGTACTTTTAATGTATATTATTTTATAGAATTTGGAGAGAAAAATGCTGACCTTGGCAAGTTAGCATGGCTGGCTCAGGAATTCGAGGAAATGAAGTCCACAAGTCTTAAAGTTGCCAAATTTGGAAATTCCTTAGCTAGACAATAGAATTTCTTCCCTTGGAAATTCTCTGTGTCACTGCTGTAACTCAGTGGTCCTCAAATTAGGGTCACATCAAAAACATGTTTTTCAGAAGATACCAAGAACTGGTACAGCACTTTCAAAGGTCTTTGGGAATAATGAGTTTCCAAAAGCAAACAAGTCTCCTTTCTCAAAATATAAGAAAAAGTAGTAAACAATTGCTACTATTTAATTAGAGATAAATGCTTTGGCCAATTAAAACTTTAACCATATATTACAATTATCCAGCCCTGCTTAATTAGTAGGGTTTTGCTCTAAGAACCACAATTATGTTCTGAGAATAATTGAACCAACTCCCTTCCTTCCTTTATAAATTTTTAGAAGGCTATCTCTTACTTGGAATTAAAAGTATTTTTCATAGAACTGTGAAACCGGTGCCCTTTCTAACAAAAGCCTCAGGCAGTCGGAATCAGTCCTCTTCGGGGTTAAAAAATCATATTTTAAAAAATGGATGTTGTAAAATAATGGTAGCTAGGGCAGCCGTGCTGAATCAGTATTTAGTAAAACACTTATTCAATTACATAAGGATTGAAGATTTTTGGAAGATTAAGGAAAGTCCAGAGAGCCAAATTTGGGGTAGTGTTTAAGGCATCACCTAGAAAATGAGACACTGATTTCTAGTCCCATCTTTGGCACACATTTACTTGGATGACTTTGAGCCAGTTATTTTCTCTCAATCTACAAAGGAAGCATTTGCAAATTACTTCCAAAGTGTTGCCAAGAAAACTGCAATGACTTCTCCAGACAGTTGTCGGGGGACAAGACTGAGTCAAAGGGACAAAAAAAAGGAAAGTCCACAATACAGGCATAATGAATATAGATTTCGTGGCAACTGCTGAGACAATAAAAAGCATGCATAAATACATGTGTAAATAATTTTATACCAACACATTTGCAAACCTCCTCCAAGACAAAATTAAAATCTGCCCTTCCATTGCAATTCCATGTCAAAACCCAATCAGGCTCATTCTTATTCTAGAATTCAGGTCAGCTCTTCCTACTGATGTTGATCAGTCATCTTGTGTCTAGTTTAGATTGGGACTCTCACCCTGGTCACCACTTTTTACCGTCCTACCATCGGGAAGGAGATATAGAAGTATAGTCAGCTGAACAAACAGGCTGAAGAATAATTTTTATCCATGTCAGATGGACTCCTAAATGCAAAATAACATCAGAACTACATAGTACGATGGACTTGCAGGGCCGGCACAATGTGTAACATGTTCACACTGGTGCAATAGAACTGGGTGTTTTGTTAATATGATTTATTGGGTTAGGGATTTTCTGTCCTCACTGCGAGTTGTATTGTGTTTGGGAAGGTGCACTAAGCTCAACCAATCTCATTGTACATATGTTGTGCACTGACAATAAAGATTTGAACTTTGGAAGCAGCAACTGATACTTGGCCACCTGGAAGTACCTGTCCCACCTGGTGCTTTTACTATTTCCATTAGAGCCCAGCCAGCATCTGCTACTTGGAATTGTCGTGTCCCAAGTTGAGGGTGGCTCCCATATCTTTCCTGTTTCAACTTCTGTCACTTCAGGCTGACAGCCATTGTCTTGAGTTTCTCAAACCTTGCAACCTTAAAGATAGGTGGATTTCAATTATCAGAATTCCCCTGCATTAAACTTTCTCTGGGATGACACTGAGAGTTCAGGAGTGCCAGCAACCATGCCAAGAAAAGTAACTATGGAGAAGAGGGGAGGGGAATATAAAGGCTAAAGGTCTGAAGAGGAGGGGAGAAGAAATCAAGTACAATGGAGTGTAGGAAGTCCCCCTCCCCAAATATTTGTTTTAAATTAAGCCAAATTTATTTAATACTTTTAAATTATTTTAAATTGATGTCTATTCTGTTTTTAAATAGGCTGTACACCCCCCTGAGTCCTTCGGGAGAAGGGCGGTATAGAAATAAAATTATTATTATTATTATTATTATTATTATTAATATTAAAAAGAGGCAGAATATTATATTTTCCCAAAGGAGAAATGAAGAAACATGCTCTTAAAAGGCAGAAAACATCTTGTCTTCCTACTTCCTCCAGCAGATGCCTGAAAGATGGATATTTTTACTTATTAAGACTGAGCCAATCTATCCATATATAAAACATCTTCCGCTCCAGTTGATGGGATTAAGAATGTACCCACCCCATACCCCAAATTCTAAGAAAAAGTACATGAACTTTAGGACACAATAGGATTTAAACCCCCCCCCCTCCACACACACATCATTAGAATAGCAAAAGGCACAGAGCTCACTATATTGAACAACCCCCTGGAGCATCTCTAAGTTCCCTATAAAAATCCACCCATGCCTAAAGCCAAGGGGGTCAAGCTGTCCCAAAACTGCCTGCTGTCATTGGTTCAGCTCATCAAATAAGCCTTCTTTCTTAAAGCAGCCTCCCATTGATGGAGGGTAGGAGAAAATTGCAGCTGAGGGGGTCCAGAGGTGATGGGGAGAGAGGCCAGGTGGAAAGAAACTTGAGACTTTCAAGAAAAGATTGGACTGTTATTTATCAGAAATGGTGTAGGGCAGAGGTCCTCAAACTTGGCAGCTTTTAAGACTTGTGGACTTCAACTCCCAAAATTCTCCAGCCAGCATAGAATAGCATAACATAGCTGGCTGGAGAATTTTGGGAGTTGAAGTCCACAAGTCTTAAAGCTGCCAGGTTTGAAGGCCTCTGGTGTAGGGTCTCCTGCTTGAGGTTGTGTTGGACTAGATGACCTATAAGGTCCCTTCCAATTCTGTTAATCTGATAAAAGGGAAAGGGGACGGCCGCCATTTTAAATAGGATTATGGTTAACTTTTCCCATTCCAGTGCTGGGAGAGAAGAGAAAGGCAGAAGGTCCAAGTGAGGCTTTTCTCCATGCCAGCCTGGGAGGAGACCTTCTACTTCCCCGGGCAACTGAGGGAGCCACCCAGAGTCAAAGGAGGGGTGTGTGTGTGTGTGTGAAAAGAGTATGTGTGAATGGGGTTCAGCGGTGAGAGGAAGTTGCGAGTCCTGAGGGAAAAGGGAATGAGCCGTGGATTTCATTAGAGGAGGGGGTGGTGGTGGTGGTGAGAAAAGCCACCAATCTGCAACGGGGGGTGGGGAGGAGAGGGGAAAGGGAGAACAGCCCTGGAGGAAGCGGCGGAGGGCGACGTGAAGCCAGAGCGGCCGTTGGCGCCAAGGGAGGTGCAAGCGCGACCGTTGTGGGCGGGGCTAAGCCGTGCGTCGAGAAGGGGCGCGCGAGCGGCGTTCTCACCTCTCTCAGCTCCTGCGTTCGGTCTCTCATAGCTTTGTTTGGTTTTTTTTTTTCGCACCTCGGAGATGAACCGGCGTGAAGGGGGGGAGGAAAGTGAACGGAGTGGGCCGCACAGCGCAGGCGCACGAAAACCTCGCAAGTTCTTAGCCAGCTCCTCCTTCCTTGGCAGTTCGATATCTTGAGGGCAGAAATCCCCCCACCCTCGGCCGGAGAATGACTGAAGCAGCACACGCCGTCCCGCTCTGCGCATGCGCACCTGCGTTATCCCGCCTTTCGAGGGTCCGCTTTTCTTCAATCTCCCCTCCCACCACCCCAAACAGCTAATAGAGAAACTGAAACAACCAAACCGGAAATATATCAAAACCCAATAATGAATGTGGTACTGTGCGAGGATGGCACTCGGGGCCGCCCCTTTTCTCTCTCTCGACCGGAAGTTGGTTCAAGTGTTCAAAAAACAGGAAGTAATTTCAGACTCTGCCGGACTAAAACGTTACTTCACATATTTAAAATATGGCCGTTGCCGGAAGTCCATTTTCCGCAACTGGAAGTCTTTAAAAAAGCGCCGTAGAGCTACGTAAATTTGTAGAGTGTCTCTTGCCATCGAGACTTTTTCCTAATATTCCAGGTTTATATGCCAAATAACGGCAGTTTATCTGAAGGATGAAATACTCAAATATATTTCCTTGCCCACAGTCGTTAAATAACCGCACTGCCCGCCTCTACACAATTTTAAAGATAAAGTATGGTCAGTCAAAAAGCAACACTAAGCTCTCTTATCTCACAAAAAGCAAATAGCTGCCTTTGTTCCGCGCTTCCTTTTGACTTTTTCTAGAGATGAGCAGAAATTCAGCCTGCAGGTACCATGATGACAAAATGATTTAGGGGCTGAAAATTTTGCAGGATGTTAGGTGTTGAAGAGAAAAAACAAAATAGCTGCTTCCATCTGTGAATGAAACAAGCAACCCTCACCCGCCTCTTCCTATAATTGTCCTTCTATAATTGCATAGTAATACTAATCCTTTTTTATTGTTATGGTCCACTGAGTCAACTGTGGAAAGAAAATTCTATTCAGAAATAATTTTATTCATGCACTGTGAATTTTTTTTAATCTTCGACATGACCTGCCAGTAGCTGAAAGAAACCATGTTGCAAAGAAAAAGAAAAAGCAATGTTGAGGCTTAGCTTTCATCTGATAATTAACAGCCAGGTGGAAACTGATAAGCCCAAATCTGTCTCAAAGAATTAGCAAACAGGTAAGATCCATTCAAGATACAGAGCTTTCACAAACATACACGAATGTAGCACCAGAAAGTCAGCACATACGCACATAGAAAAATGAGGAGGATCTTACACACTCAGCAAAGTTAAATAAGAACATCAACCCATCAGTGGCACATCTGCCAAATTAAACATTTCAAAGGGGCACATTTACACACCTCCCAAAAGACCCCCTTTCCTGTAAATATTACATAGAAACGTGCAACAAAAACTGACAGCAGAAAAGGGCCACTGGCAGTCAGAGGAAATGATATTTCATTAATTAGCAATAGAAATAGCACTTAGACTAATATACCGCTTCAACAGTGCTTTACAGCCCTCTCTAAGCGGTTCACAGAATCAGCATATTGCCCCCAACAATCTGGGTCCTCATTTTACCAACCTCGGAAGGATAGAACACTGACTCCACTTTGAGCCTATGGGAATTGAACTGCTGGCAGTAACCTACAGTACTGCATTCTAACCACTGCGTCACCATGACTCTTAGGTGTAATCTCTGGTATCCTGAAAGGAATGTTTTCCTTAATAGCTTTAACCTTTGGCTTGTTTTAATCTCTTTGTGTGTATAAAGAATTTCCATAACCTGAGGAGATTTCTAATGGTTTTGGTTGAGATGTCTGCCAACTTCCTATCAGCGTCATATGAGGTCTGGTTCTGACCAGGGTTCCATAAGAACAACACTGGACAGGCTACATGAAAAAGAAGCAGTTTATTTGAGAGCATAAAAACGACACTTGAGATCACTGTCATTATGGGTTCTGAGTAGGTAATATTTATAGGAAAAGTGGTTCTTTGGGAGGTGTGTGAATGTGCCCTCTGAAATATTTATTCTGGTGGATGTGCAGCTCTGGTGGAAAGGTTTTCATCTTACTTTGCTGAGTGTGTTAAGCTTCCTCCCTTTTTTGTGTGCTAACTTTAGAATAGAATAGAATTCTTTATTGGCCAAGTGTGATTGGACACACAAGGAATTTGTCTTGGTGCATACACTCTCAGTGTACATAAAAGAAAAGATACATTTGTCAAGAATCATACAGTACAACACTTAATGATAGTCATAGGGAAACAGTCACTATAAATCTTAAGGGTGCCAACAACAAGGTTACACTCATACTGTCATAAGTGGGAGGAGATGGGTGATAAGAACGATGAGAAGATTAATAGTAATGCAGACTTAGTAACTAGTTTGACAGTGTTGAGGGAATTATTTGTTTAGCAGAGGGATGGCATTCAGGAAAAAACTGTCCTTGTGTCTAGTTGTTCTGGTGTGCAGTGCTCTATAGCATCATTTTGAGGGTAGAAGTTGAAACAGTTTGTGTCCAGGATGTGAGGGGTCTGTAAATATTTTCACAGCCCTCTTTTTGACTTGTGCAGTACACAGGTCCTCAATGGAAGGCAGGTTGGTAGCCATTGTTTTTTCTGCAGTTCTAATTATCCTCTGAAGTCTGTGTCTGTCTTGTTGGGTTGCAGAACCAAACCAGACAGTTATAGAGGTGCAGATGACAGACTCAATAATTTAGGGGGCCACATTTGCATGTTCAGAAAAGTCCAATATCTTAAGGGATTTTACCTGTTTGTTTATTCTTTTGAGACATATGCGGTTTTATCAGTTTCAGCTTGGCAATTAATTATCACCTGAAAGAAGGTTAAGTGATCCCGGTTTTGGTTGCTGGCAGGTCACGTTGATGATTAAAAGGAATTCATAGGGAGTGCATGAAAAAAAATCATTTCTGAATTGAATTTTTTTCCATCAACCCCTAATTCATTTCCACATACCACATATGGGAAGTAGGCCTGTTTGAAAACCATTCAAACCGTTCATGTATTTTTTAGAGTACAGATAATCCTCAATTTATGACCACAATTGAGCTCAAAATTTCTGTTGCTAAGCGAGGCAATTGTGAAGTGAATTTTACCTCATTTTATGACATTGCCACAGTTGCTAAGTGAGCCACTGCGATTGTTAAGTTAGTAACACAGTTGTTAAGTGAATCTGGCTTCCCCATTTCTTGTCAGAAGATCGCAAAAGATGATCACGTGACCTTGGGACACTAAAGCCATCATAAATATGAGTCAATTGCCAGGCATCTGAATTTTGATCATGTGACCATGTGGCTGTTGTAGTGATCATAAATGTGAAAAAGAATCATAACTAATTTTTTTTCAGTGTTGTTGTAACTTCTAACGGTCACTAAATGAACTGTTGTAAATTGAGGACCACCTGTAGTTTTGCAAGGGCAGAAGGAGATAATGGGAGATATATAACACATAGTGTAGTTAGAAAGCATTTCTTCTTTCTTTTTCAAAATACTAAAGTTTGTACATGTTCGGTGAAGGGAGTCGAGTGGCTTAGTGGTAGCTTTAGGTTTTAGGTTGCTGCTTCTGGCTCAGAAAACAACCTATTCCAGGGGTGAAATTCAGTAGGTTCTGGCAGATTCAGGAGAACCGGTAGCGGAAATTTTGAGCAGTTTGGAGAACCAGCCAATACCACCTCTGGCTGGCCCCAGAATGGGGTGGGAATGGAGATTTTGCAGTATCCTCCCCCCTGGAGTGGGGAGGGAATGGCAATTTTGCAGTATCCTTCCCCCTGGAATGGGGAGAGAATGGGGATTTTGCAGTATCCTTCCCACAGGAGTGGGGTGGGAATGGAGATTTTGCAGTATCCTTCCCCCAGGAGTGGGGTGGGAATGGAAGTTTTGCAGTATCTTTCCCCTGCCACGTCCACCAAGCCACACCATACCCACCGAGCCACGCCCACAGAACCAGTTGTAAAAAAATGTGCATTTCACTACTGCCCTACTCTGGTAAAATTAAACAGAAAACAAAAAGTTGTGTTGAGAGATGCTTTTTCCTCATAAGAAGCTGAAGGATGTTAGTAATTTGTTCTAGTTTTGCAATTAGGTTAGCCTTGATTGGTCAAGATGATAATGGTACTCTATAGTGTCATATCTTGGTTCATTAGCAACGCTATGTTATTAACATAGATTAACAGTTACATGGATTAAGATCTTAAAAAACAAATAGAAGTGTGTTAGGCGATCTGCTGTAACATTCAGTCATAGTGCGTCATTCATTGATGACCATTTGCTGGAAGAGACTGACAAAGTGTATCCAGGCTTTTGGGAAGCAGGGTTAAGAACTACATTTGATTTCAGCAGGTATCTTCTAACATTCTCACGAAGACTATTTTTATTTATTTTATTAGTTGATTTTGATCATGCCCCTCTGAACGAAGACTTCTCTGGGCAGCTTAGCCAAATCTCGGATCGGAATCTTATTAATTTTTTAAAAATTACAAAGCAACCGAACTGCATGGAAAGCCGCATGAATAATTCAAAGCTTTTTTTTTTTTAAACCTATTTTTAACAGCTAAGAAACTCTACCAGCCTGGTCCCCCAAATATAATGTTCCATTAATTAATCATCTGCCTGTAGAATAAGATCCAAAGGCAGGTTTGCTTGGTGGTATATGATACATGCCAACACCAAGCAATTTGATTTTAGGCAAAGGCTCAAAATAGTTGCCTGCAATTGAGAGCTGCAGGTGGGATTGGCAAGCTCTAGATGCATATGTATCTGTGCGTGTGTGGTCAGTTTATAAGCATTCCTCTCTGAAACCTGAAGCAATTTAGCTGCTATCCTGCCTCTTTATATTCTGTTTATATAAATAGAGATTTGCAAAGACATCATCATTCTCCAGTGTATGCTGCTCTGTCTCCCAGCATCTCTCTCCCAGCATCTCTCTCTCTCTCTCTCTCCCTTAAAAAACAGATGCTGTAAAGAAGAAGAGATTTGGAAAGTACTACCTCTGGTCTGAAGGATTGGAGCTGAGATCCTTATATTAATATTAAGGGCTGGGGGGGGTGAGAGATAAGAGAGGAAGAATTAAAGTCCAGGTTTGAGTTTCTGTCATTAATTTATTTAATTTGGTTGCTTCACAGGTGAAGATTTTCAAGCTTGGTTGCTAGGAGGGCTGAAGGAAGTTTGGCTGCGTCAGGCCAGTCCCTTTGCTGGCAGCTTGCCTGCGGTCTGTGTCAATAGCGCAGCCAGTGACTCAGGAGGTTGGGAAGCTGCATGGTGGGAGCAGGGATGAATGGAGCCCTAAAGCCAAGGTGGGAGAGGGAGGGGGCTAGAAGGAAAGCAAGGGCACTGTGCTTTA